CGAAACGAAACGAAAACAAAGAACGCGCTAATTAAAAATGCTAAAAGTTTTAAGCTCTCCTCGAACCGGGCCGAAATTCCAGCCTCCTTTTCAGCTGTCCATTTCGACTCGAACTGAGTGGAGCTCCGGCTGATGGCCAGCTACCATTCCCAATGCGATCAGAAGTGAATTTCTTTTTTTTTTCTGGCCGGTTTTTGTTTTTATTTTGTATTTTTTTTCGGATCTTGTTGAAGTAGTAAACACCGCACGGCTGTCGATTTCTGTTTGCTGTCAGTTGGAGTTTCTTGTAGTAGGATGAAGGGGTTTCGGGGGCTTTGGGCAACCCTACCGAGGTCCAACCATTCATCTTTGGCCGGTTCGAAGGGCCTCGTTTTAGGTTTTCGATTTTCGGTTTTCAGTTTTCAGTCTTCGGTTTCGGCTGGTCATTTGTTGGGTTGGCGTGTTGCTTATCCCGACGATTCTGTTTGAAAATTTCCAACGAAATGCTGGAAATGCTGCCGCAAAACAGGACTCAACATGCAGAGTTTATAGGTATTTTAATTAGTTGAAATTTCTCGTTGGCTACAACGGTCTGGGAACGAGGTGAATGAGGGGAAACCGCCGAAGGGACCACCTAGGTAACAAATGTCTTTCCTATGTAAACATAACTCTGGGCCCCCAAATGAGCAGTTCGTGTAACTCTTTTGCTCTCTAACCAAATTTGATTAAAACCTAATGAAGCTTAATAAGCCTGAAAATCCTCCATAAATGAAGCGATTACTCTAAAGCAATCTCATTTGAGGATTACGATCTTCCAATGAATAAGGTATTCAATTTTCCAGAAACCACAAAACCACTCACCCAGGAACCGAACTAAAATTAAAACGTCGACTTAAGCCGCGAACGAGAAGGGCGACATTTATCCGGACAGTGACAAGTGTCCAACCCCGGAGATGAGCCGATCCTCTTCGGCTGATTTTTTTTTTTTGGTTTTGATTTCGGTTTCGGAGAGTTTATTGTTTGTTTAATTGCAGGCCAGTTGGGCAGGGCGGTGTACACTTGAAAATTGTAACAGCAAAAATGATAAATGATTCGCGCATTTAACCCTCCACTTGCACAGCTGTTGGTTTCCACTTCCTCGATGCGATGCCAGTGCGTAACATTTGCCGCAAATCAAAGGCAAACCGCTGATGACACGGCGGCGGTGGTGGTGGTGGTGGTTGGGTGTTTAGGAGGTGGTGGTTTAGGTGGCCAGGCTGCCAGGCTGCCTTGGGTGCACTTACAGCCACGAAAATGTAATAAAAACGTGCGTCTTCACTTCATGTAAATCATGTCAGGCGGCGGCGAGTAGCGCGAAATATTTACCCTGCACGGTGGAAAAATTAACATAATTTTTGAATATTACCCTCGTAAATATTAATGTTGTTGGACCACAACATTGACTATCAAATGATTTTATATTCTGGTTTCTGACTTAAATTATTGAAGTCAATGTCAATTCCAAAAATCTTTTAATAATATAAAAGGAGTCATTCTCTGCACACTGGTAAAGACACAAATTTCCCCCAGTGTGATGATGTTGCGGTGCAAGTAACATAGCAGCCGCGGCACAAATGAGGAGCACGGCATGGAGATCATCCTGACCGCAGTGCGATCGCAATCGCCAAATGGAAGGCAAGGTGTCCCATTCGGAGCTGGAAATGGAGATGGAGTTGCAGTCGGTCCAGGGCGTCTCTGCGCGGCTGGATCCATCTGCACTCTCCACACCAACTCCACCGTTTGGGTATTGGTACTAGTCTACTGTCTACTGGCGGTGGCGTGAACGTGCAAACATGTTGCACATGAGAGAGGCTGCCGCTAAAGTACTTGTACTTGTCATATTGTTATGGATTTATGGCAAACACGTATAGCGCTATAAAAATGACATATGCACGTGTATGGGTTAAAGTATGGGCTCGATATGAGGGACGACTCGACTCGACTCCTTACCTTAGCCCGCTCCTTACCCTTAACCCCTTCCCTGTCATCGCAATCGCAATCACAATCGGTGGGTAACAGTTGCACATGTTGGCGAAAGACATGAGCACGCGCAGCCATCTCGATTACTCGCTCGCGTCGGCGCAATCGAAACCAACCCTCCCCGAGATCCGATCTCTATATCTTTCCATATCTTTTCATCCCCCTCTCCCCTCCTACCGCATCAACGCTAATTAATCGCCTTTGTTCGTGTCATAATGCGATGCGTTCGAAACATGTTTGCCTTACTGATTCCGCAATTGGATTTCGTTTTGGCAGCAGCGCCTAGGGGTGGGTTTTTTTGGTTGGGTTAAATGAGGCGTACCTCTATCATTTCACCCCCTCTTCGGGTGAACATGTGTGAGATTCACAAGTGCCTTGATTTTTTTCAAGTAAGGTGGTACAAATTGCAGGGTCAGGTCAGGTGGTCACATTGATGGATGGTTCGTAGTGAAAAATCTGTTTATTACAGAACTAAAAAAGTGGTAAGTTTTTAAAGCCCTTGGATGACATAAGGTTGTGTTCTCAGTTCCTATAGATTGATCAGCAGACACTATCACTGATATTTATTTTATATTTAAAAAAAAAAAGTTTATTTAAAATGAAGTTGAACGGCATCCAGCTATCAACATCTTAGCTTATAATTTTACCCTTTTCAAACCCAATATAAAGTTAAATGCTGGTAAAAATTACCCTTTAAATATAATTACATCTAATATCTTATAATCTAGAATAATAATTTAAATTTACATTGTCAAATTAGTCAGCTATAAAAAGAAACTAAACTCAAGTTAGTCAAGCACACTCTCCTTTTAATCATTAGAATTTAATTTAAGAAAGCCAAACTAGTTCTACCCTTAAATCAGCCCCTTTTTTGTATAGAATTAGTATCGCATTTAGTATTTAGCTTAATGGTGCCAAGTGTTATTAGGGCTACTATTTGCAGATCTTTTAAGCAAACAATTTTAAGCAATTGTGTTTTTGGGTAAACTTCTGCCCCCGCTGATCTCAGAGCTTATTCCCAGTCTTTTGTCTGAAGTGTTCCCTCAAGTACCCGTAACTTTTTGCTAAAAATATGGCCCATAAATCTCCTGACCCAGCACAGTGCCAATAAAAGCGTTCATAAACAACTAACCTAAGGCAATGATAATGCTTGTCCCGTCTAAGGGCGGCCACTATGCAGTAACCACTAAACACAAACCACTAACCACAAACCGCCACCGCTGCAGCAGGAGGAGTAAAGAATAAAAAATAAAGAAAAACGAGGAGGCGGAAAAAAACACTTGAAAAATCTGTCATAAAATGTTGAGTGGTGTAAAACCAACTGGTTGAAATTGCCAACATATTTGCCTGTTTGTTTAATGAACTCGCCCAACTGGTCGGCCAAGGAGGGTTCCGAGGGTTTGAGGGGGTGAACCTTTGTCGCGAGGGTGGGTTCAACATTTTGATTACTCAATATGTTTAATTTTATGGACTTCTGCCACCGCTCTGATCCACTTTTGCAGCTGTTCCATGTGCCAGAAAACTGAACTAAACGAGAAAACGAAAGCTAATCCCAACAAAGAAATGCCATTAAACCCGAACAAGTGTCCAAGAAAACGCCAACACAAAGTCACCGAAAATTATGAGAGACGCTCACAAAGACACCTGTAAGATGTTGTCTGCTATTAGTTGAAATCAAAACGAAAACAATGTAAGCCACAGTGAGCAAAAATAATATATCTCTGGGGACCACAAGTTGAAGTCTCTAGAGTCTGGAGTCGAGCTGGCTGTTAGCTGTTGGCTGTTGGCTGGCCACCAACGCAAAAGCTGGTCGTCGCCTTTTAGCCAATTTTGATATAACTGAAAGCGTCAATTATACGTGAAATTTATGATGCCGTGTGAAGAATAACACCAACTTGCAACATATTTGGACAACGTTGCCGTTTGCCGTCTGAGTTGCCCGTACAATTGCCGCTCTGGGGTCTCTTGTCGCAGATATGTAAGCTGATAATGGGCATTGTAGTGCAGTTTTTTTCTTCTTTCTTCTCCCAGCCAGAAAAAGATGACAAAGGAGCTGGGAGACCGCTGCCCAGTACGCCCACCAAATAGAGGATGGAGACCCAAATGGCCAGGCAGAAGACTAGAGAAGACATTTTGGGCACACACCAAGTCAATTTGTTTTATCTATTGTCGAACAAGAGTCATGTCACAACGGCACAATGAGATTTACTATGTGTTGTTGCAGTTGTTGAGGCAGCAACAGCAATTGTTGTTGTTTTTGTTGTTGTTTTTGTGGTTGTTGCTGTTGCTGTTGCAGTAGTTGTGGTGGGCAGACAATGGAAAATCAGCAACATGATTCGATATTTAGATATGCGCCTCAAGAAATATGAGCCGCTAACAACAACAGCACAACAGCAGCAGCAACAACAAAGATGCTGCCGCCTGTCTTGTTGGCCGCATGTAATTGCCAAGTTTGTTGCTTAAGTCTTTTGTTTTGGCTGCGCTGATAGGCCAGTTGCATTTAAATTTGATTTATACACTTTCGGCCAGCAGATAATTGGATGGAAGTCGCCGCTCTGTCTGTGGGGTTAATAATTGGCTAGGTTTTTGGGACCTGGTTCCCAGCATATTGAACGATAACATTGTGGGAGAGCTCCTGTAGATTAGGTGTTAATTGCCAGTCCCTCGGAGCTACTAGATCTGGAGCACACACAGAATGCACTTATAAACATAATTAAGTTGGAATCGTACAAAAAAAAAAGAAAAAACGGCAGCTCCGAGCCTCGGGCGCGCATGCGTGCAGCAGCCGAAGCGGCAGCAACTCCATTAACGGCCGATTCCGATTCAGATTCCGGGCCCCGGGGCTATATACAGTCGTACGACCAATCAGCGGCTCGCTAAAGAGCACTGCCCGAAGAGCAAACTGGTTTTCTCCAAAGAGAATTATTGAGAGAAGCAGTCGGTGAGTTAAGCTCTCAGATCGGCGGCAAGTTGTGCCCAGCGGCAATCAGTCGTTACTCGAAGCCTGAAGCGCACGCAGCACTCAGCGGAAGTGTATTGCCACCACTTTGAAGCGGTTTCGGTGGTTCAGACCAAGCCACTGTTCTCTTAAGTCCACAGACAACCACCAAGTACCAACGCAGTACTCTCGCGTGACTTGCTCCGCCCCGTGGATGCTGCTCGAGGGCTGGAAATGCCGCAGGATTCGGTTAACGCGTTTAGTCGAACGCCGTGCTTTGAGCGGTGATGAGCCCTCTTTTCTGTCAACGGTAAAACCCCTCCTCGAATTGGATTATTGTGTGAACCCATACCCATAACCAAACCAAACTCATACCATAAACCCCATACAACAATTGTGAAAGTGTTAAATGTGCCGCAATCGAATTAAATTGCTTGCTGATTACAACAAATGATGAAGAGCAATCAACTGAAATGCTCGGTGGAAGAAAAGCAAATCGAAAGATCGACAATCAGCCGACATTTTCTGTGTGTGTTTTCATGTGATTAACTCTCCTGAGCCTGAGATCGTGTGAGCGAAGAAAAACGGAAATACCTTTCAATTAAATACAATACATTAATATATATCAAAATACAATGCCGTAAAAATTGTGTTCAATCAAAGGCGAAAAGTAAAAGTGCAAACAATGTGAATATTTGCAAAAACGAGTGCCCCATTCCGGGGGAATCGGTGGCCACAGTGCGCTCCATTGATAACGCACACAGCCAGAAAACAGGGACACAAACACGGTCTACGAAGTGGAATTGAAACATGCCAAGTGAAAGAGAGAAAGAATAAAAAAAAAACAGACCCAACTAGTTCATAATGCACGGCGATAATACAAATAATAATAATGGGCACACAGAAAGAAATTCCTAAGAAAATTAATTGATAATGAAAGACATTAAAAGGGAGGAAATAAGAATATATAAACAATAACTTAAAAATAAAATAAATAGAAACTTTGAATTCGGAGAATTTATGAAATATTTCTAATAAAGATAAGACCTTATTTTTGTTCTGTGCTTAGGGAGAAAAGAGAGATAGTGAAATCAGTAAGCTTCTGAATGGGTGGTACGAGCATGGGAAAGCCCACGATCCAGAGAGCGAGGAAAATGCTCCATGCACTGGCTCACATTCAATGATTTCCCATATGCTATGAATTACGGATCTACCATGGTCCACAGCTTATTCAGATCGTTTAAGTCAAGAATATTCTGCTTGCACAATTATTTGATAAATCAGAGTATGTCAAGAAGGAGAATTATCAGGAAATAACCATAAACTTTAAACTACAAATAGTAGATATAGGGTATGCCATAGTTTCAAAGCCTTTAGCAGTTTATTCATCGTTTTGCAAATTGCAAAGAGTAGAGAGTGAAAGTATGTAGAGTTACGGGGAGGTAGCTGCATCATCCACTTGCAAAAGCCACTTCCGGTCATGCCCTGCAGCAGCAACATCAACAGCCGCAGCAGCAGCAGCATGAGCAAAAGCGGCAGCATCTGGGTTTCGATTCAAAGTCAACGACTTCCGTTTCGTGCCAAAGCCGGGAGGAGGCCCCAAGCAAATTACTTAATTAAATGGACAATTAACACCCGAGCAGGAGGAAGCTGGGCGGGATGAGGGGCCAAAGGCCACGGGCGAGAGGGAAGAATGAGTAATGTGGACAAGAGTGAAAATATCTGTAAATTAATATGCGCACAAGATGCAAATTGTTTGTGGCCAAAGACACGGCTCCATGGCAGCAGCAGCAACATCGGCACCAACTGCAGCAGAAACTGCAGCAGTAACCACCAGTAACAGCGTTAAATTAACATAAATTGAATTGCATTTGCATTTGCTGCACGTTGCCGCTTTTTGCGGTCTGGCAAAAGTAAATGTTGCTGCGGTTGCTGGTGGCACTTGTTGCTGCGGTTGCGGTTGCTGCTTCTGTTGGTGCTTCTGCTAGCTGCGATGTTGCTACTGCTACTGTAACTGCGTGTCAATTAGCGTTGATGATGCACAGTGAAATAGATTTTCCGCAGCCCGTTTCAATTCCATTTCGTTCGACAATTGTTACAGCAACATCATCGCCTATCATCAAGTGGAAGTGTTAAGTGTGAACAAAACAAACGAGAAGTACATACTAAAGCCCATATAAATAATAAATAATTGTGTGATAACAACATTAACAACAAAACAAAACAAAACGAAGCCAGAGTGGAGAAAATGATACAGCATCCAGAATACGATCAGTGCCGCCATATAGAACAAGTGTAGTGGAAACTTAGACAAAGGCACACAAAAATCTGCATACATGGGCTAATTAAGGCTGCCCAGCGAATTTACATTTGTGTTTTTTGGTGCCAATACAAAGTGAATCGACAAAAGCAAAAAAAAAACTCCATCTAGATCCCAACCAGCATCACGCTCTCAAACGCCCTCAGTATGTACAAAATGTTTAGGAAACATTTTCGGCGAAAACCAACATCGTTGGCGGAATCAACAATAGAAGCAACAGAAGGCACAGCAGACAGCCTGAGAATGTCCAAAAAGACGGCGACAAAAAGGCAGCGTCCAAGGCATCGGGAACTCAAAATCACTGCCCTGCCATCGACGATCCGCGATTGTTGGTCATTAAAGTCTGCCTGCAACTTAATTGCTTTAATTTTAATACTGTTAGTCCATAAGGTAAGCAAACCAACATGCAAAAAAGATCGAACTTCCCAAAAGCAATAATCGAAAAAAAAGCCCCAGATACAAATACATGCGGGTGTAGTGTCTCGGTAGAAACAAAAAGCCAAAAAATATACAACAAAACCAAAACTCAAAGTTGATTCAACCCATGTGAATTGGCAAATGGCTGAGGGCAAAGTTTTGATGGGGGACGTAAATAATGATGATTTGGGTTTATTTTTGAGTGATTTATCAACTCAGCATCCAAAAGACTTGTGTTTAATGAGAGCTTTTTACGCTGGAATTTTCTCACAGCAGTAAATCAAAAATAAATCAATATGCTAAAGAGAGATTCTTAAATAGTTCCTTAAGGAAATAATACATTGTATTCATAAATTTAAAAAACCCTAATAATTCTTACATTTAGATACATTTCATTACATTTTCTTAATGATTTTTAAGGCTCTTAAAGAAGGCTTCCTCGGAAAATTAAGTTGTTAACGTGGGCTTACAGTAATCAAATGTAATTTTATTGCCATACACAATCAATTTTCCAGCAATTTGATACCTGCACTTAGTCCATATTATCCCCAACTATCAAACATTAAACTGGTATTTGAATAAAGCCATTCTCCGGTTTCTATAAAAAGTCTCTGACTAAGAATTCCGGGCAAAGGTTTAATAGGATCGCACCGAGGACCCCTCGAAAAGTGATCCGCCAGATTAGTGGATCCGTTCTATCGCCGAAAACCATCTCTCCGAAATGGTTCCCACATGGCAACGGTAGTCGAGGCCCTGGCTGTGTTTTCGTCTTTTCGGGGTGTAGCCGTCATAAAGTGTTACACAAAGTGCCTAAACATGTATTGAGATGCCAGCGGAGATGCCCCGAGCGGCAATTAAACAGGCAAAGAGGCAGAGTCGGAGAACCAACGGCAGCCAACGGTTCAGAAATACATAAAAATTAATCGTTGGCCGGAAAGTTATAGGGAGTTTAAGGGGGGGTCCGAGAGGGGGGCCTAAACAACAATTTGATTAATACGCCACTGATCTCAAGAGTCAGACATTAGAATCCGAAGAGCATGCGAGTCCCAGAACCCAGTCCCAGTTCCAGTCCAGAAGACCATGCCGACCGTGGGGCAATCAAATTGATTACACACATTTATCTACTTGGAAGAGGGGATTGCATTGATTTAGGGTAAGCGAGGCGATAAAAGTCGCCGGCAGCAGCATTGGACCAGAGCGGTCCCACTGCAACTATTTAGTTGTTAATGAAGTAAATAAAAGTTAAATATTTTGTAGCGGCGATTTATGGCCGACTTCCAGGGAAAACCAGGCAGCCACTAAGCCAGTCAACCGGACAACCGATTCTGCGATCATATCGCCTGGGTTCACATGGGCCCATGTCAGTTGAAATTAACCCAGTTACTCTGCCAAGTAGGGATACCGAAAAAAAAGCCAGAGAAGATCTTTCTCATTTGAGCTGACATTTATTGATCATAAGCTGTGTATTAAACGGACTGCGAAATATGCATAAAAGGCCAAAAAACCGAAATGAGCTGGCAAAACGAGCTCCCACGTTGCTGATCTGCCTGCACTTAATGGCCAAGTTTCGTTTTGTTTTCCTGCCAACTGCAGGCTTAATTAAAACTTAATTTCACATTAACTTTGTGTGTCGGCTTCATTAAGCTTTCCGTTTTTCCCTACCTTACCTCCGTTTTACATGTGGCGCCATATGGGCAGCACTAATTCCTTAAGCATTTCTGGTGGTTTATCTAATCGAATTGATTACGTCAAAGTTTGTCCGGAATATTAGCGGATGCACCTGCCCCATGAATGAGGAGCACTGCCCGAAGAAATGTGATAAATAAATAGTAAGCAGCCAGAACCGGTTACGTGTGGCATCTCTCGATCGTCGAGCCAAGAATCCAATCAGTTTGAGGTCCCAGTCCCAGTCGCAGTCAGCGTTGCAGTGGAGTTTCAGAGACGAGGCCCAAACAAAAGGAAATCACGAGAAAACGTTAAGAGAAACCAAACAGAAACTGGCCGAGAATGGCGAGGGGTAAGGAGGGAGTTGCATTTGATTGATCTATGGCATGATCAACAATGCATGTGGCTTCAAGCTGAAGTTTGGTTTTTGTCGGCCTTTATTTTCATTTTTATATGAGACTTTATCTGCAGCTGCAGGTGAGTCGAAACTGGCCGATGCCGTTAGCCAAAGAGCCCGGGCTAAATTGCAATTTATTTCTAATAAACTTATCAACACTGCCAGCTACCAAAGACCATGACAATAAATTCACTGAAATATGAAACCATAAAAGCAGGAGTTCCGAGATGGCCAGGAGTTTTCATTAGCATATTTTCCGCGAAGCAGAACCCATCCGCCGCCTGGTAATGAACCCTAAAATACAAAGTTGATGGCCAAGATGGAGCTTCCAGAGGCAAGAGCTCCTTGGGTAAAATATGATAAGCGATTTGCCGGAGAATAGTTAAACTTTATGTGCCATTTGTCAGTAGCGTTCGAGTGAGAGAGCGGCGATCTAATGTGTTATTAATTTTATGGCAAATGCTCCTATCGATGGGCCCGTGATTTGTGGCCACTTCAGGCTACAACTACGGATTCTGCCACGGATTCCAGCTGGCACACAAAGGCATTCTAAATTATACAAACTGCTGGATATCTCGTTTGATTAAGTGAGCCGAACCGAACAGTTAAGCCGCTTTTGTTGGGGAAAATATTTCTCATTATTTTCGTGTTTCATTTGCTGCCAGATTTATCAGGCTCCTTTCATTTGCCTACCACTTTTACGGTGTTCACTCCGGTCTTCTGATTTTCCTCTCTTGTATCGATCTATCTATTTTTGTTTTTTTAATTAAAACCTCTACCGCAGCCCAATCAGAGCGCCCTAGGTGGCTTATTAGCTTTTACAACCAGCGAACGAGCTGGGATCACAGCCGAATCAGATCCATAAAGTGTTGAGCATATTATTCGATTTGGAATGTTAACTAAGGAGAGGAATAGTGGGATGGGGGATTGGGTATCGGTTTGGGATTCACTTCGTTATGGGTCATGATTGATTTGAACGATTTGAGATCTCGGGGTGCTTGTTTTCGTTACGTTGCTTTGCTGATGTACTGGCATTTTCGATAATTTTTTGTTTATGTTCTCCACTACAGATATCCGCAGCTGGTAACTTCGAGCTGGAAATATTAGAAATCTCAAATACCAACAGCCATCTACTCAACGGCTATTGCTGCGGCATGCCAGCGGAACTAAGGGCCACCAAGACGATAGGTAAGTCCATGTCCAACTTTATTGAAGCACCAACTGTGAGATGTATGATTTTTTATGGGATTCTCGCTTGTCAAAGAAAGTTAAAACGTCGTTAAAAATGCGGTTTTACTTTTGATTTCTTGCGACTTTTAAAATGGTTACAAGTTTGTAAACTTTACAATGTTTTGCTTGTTAAAATATTATATTTTCTTATTTATTCCTATAAAATTTTTAAAATATTAAATAAAAATGCAAAATTCTCTGTGGAATCCATCCGGATTCTTATGTTCTTCGATATTCTTTATCTTGCTTCCCCAAAATAGACGGTCAAGGCTCTTTGACTATCAGCAGAATTTGCACTCTGCATATTTTTTCGCTACTATTAATGTATTCTCTTATATTTTTAACGATCCCCGACAATTATGCAATCTTTCTGTGGCAGCGAAGTCTGCATGTCCATATACTATATACATATATTCGCAAATGTGATAACCCGTGCTGGAATTCTAATTTCAGGCTGCTCGCCATGCACGACGGCATTCCGGCTGTGCCTGAAGGAGTACCAGACCACGGAGCAGGGTGCCAGCATATCCACGGGCTGTTCATTTGGCAACGCCACCACCAAGATACTGGGTGGATCCAGCTTTGTGCTCAGCGATCCGGGTGTGGGTGCCATTGTGCTGCCCTTTACGTTTCGATGGACGGTAAGTGCATAATTTCCCATAAGCCATATAAAACCATATTCCCATGCTATTCTCTCAGCAAGTAAGACGCACGCTTTTGGCACGAGCTCTCTTTTTTCGTCGTCGCAGTTGTGGGGGGCTTTCATTATTGTTTTTCGACTTTAGATAGCTCGGTTCCGCCTGGAGAGCACCCAAGCTGAACTGAACGATAAGGTCGAGCCGGCAACAGAAATGTGAATGAGCCAAGCTCGTGCCGGATTGATAAGAAAATGTGTTTATGAAAGAAAAAAAAATCAGAGGGGCATAGTCTATGTGGGGATTTCCACAGCGAATACTCTCTCTCTTTAGTTTACTTCCTGTGACCAAAAATTCCAGCGTGGGCTGCGAAGGTTTCATCGAGCGTGAAAATTCCAAGGCACAGAGGCTAGCACCAAAAGCGGCTTACTCATACTCGACCAAGTCACTTAAAAACCCTTGGCCAGCCCATCATCATCTTGTGCCTCCGCGGAGATTCTCCCGTCAGTAGCCGAAAAAAGCAATTAAAAATTGTGTTTCATGTTTTAAACTTCTTTGCCGGGCAACTCCTAAGCGGCTTTCGGTTAATTAAGTGAGCATAATGCGGGCTTATGACTGCCAAAATGGTAAGGAATAAAAAATACAGAAACATACTGAAAACATACGAACCGAGAAAACATAAAATAAACGTGGCCTGGTCGGCTCTTAACTCGGTTAAGGTAAAAATGTAACCTGACTGGGTGTAGTCGCAGAATTGAATTAAACTTTTGCCTTTGCTCGGTTTTATTTCGTTGTTATGTACGGGTGTTGTTCTGCCGGTTGTTAGCTGCTGTTTTGGCGGTGTTCAAAGCTAACTTGGCTAACAATTACACGCCTTGGCCAGGTCGGTGTCCAAACAAATACGACTGCGATCGGTACGTTAGAGCACTTGGACAAAAAGGTTATAATAATCAGGAGCTAAATTGGGAATATATTAAAACTTCCAACATCAGTTTAAGCAATCTTTTCCCTTCATCAAAAACAATTTTAATAATTTAAACTATTTAAAAGATTTTAAATTAATATTTATCATTATTATTAATCATTAAACTATACTTGCTCTAAAACGCTTTTAAATTTTCCATTAAATTTAGGTCTTAAATTGAAAGAATTTATGTAATTGAACAGCAAATTAATTTAATTATTTCTCGAGTGCAACAGAATTTGCAGTCACCGTTGACGCCGACGTCGGCATGCGCATGCGCCGTCGTTTACATTAGGCAGGGGCAACTGTGGCTGGGATGTGGGGGCTGTGGAGGATGCGGGGGAGAAGGCATGCGTCAGAGCCGGGTCTTGGTCTTGGGTCTTGGTCTTAGTCTTGGGTTTTGGGCTTGGGGATTGTGACTTGAGGCTTGGTGCTTGGGGCTTTCGTCTGGCCTGCCTGTTCTGTGTGCCTCCACCATTCCCATTCCCCGACCGAAAGCAAAGTCGTGGCCTGAAGTGCGGACAACCTGTTTCGTGGGAACATTACCTTGTCGCGCTTGTCGCTCGGCCGATGGCGATGGCGATACGTTACGCTTCGCTTTGGTTTCGCTTTAATCTTGTGCCTTTGCCAGTGCTTTTTTTTTCGCCCAGCTAGCTCCTCAGCTCCCCAAACTCAGCTCACATGTGACTGAGTTGAAAACTGTTACTGGGTACCTTTTTGAAAAGCGAACGAAACCCAGCAAATTCTGCATACCAGCCAGCGTAATATTCGCCTGCAGACAGTCAGTCAGTAAGCCAGTCTGACTGTGAGGCACCCTCAAGAAGCCTTTCACAAACTCATGAAAATCTTCAAAAAAACGAAAGACAAAAATCAAGTAAAAAGAGCTGCCGATATGGTCGCAATTGTCCCACTTTTTATTGAATGACTTCTTCTGCGGCTGCTGATTGAGTGAATGGCATGTTAAGACTCATAAACATGACTTAGGAAATACTTGAGCCCGGCCTCAAGAGCACACATCATAACATATAACATCGGCGGGCCTTCGATGTAACTGTCAAACACCGACTTCACCTAGGGTACCGCTCTCCTACTACTAACCTCATCCACAACCCCATCCACATCCACCTGAAACAGCTCCAAACGAATTTCACTTGACAATATTTTCCAAGTTCCAAAAGCCTGAAGATCTGGAGTGCGCGTGCGCAGCCATTGAACGTTGTCGAGTGGTATTTGTGGTGCCAGTTCCACTTTTCGCTCAAGATCAATGAATGACTGCCCAAATAAAATGTGTGTTTTGCTCTGTGGGCTTTTGATCCATTTTGCTACCTCCACAAAACATATTTCGTTCGAGATGAAACACTTTTTGGTTACCCATGGGCTTCCATTAATGAAAGTACTTTAACCGGAGACAAGGTTCTTCAACTTTGTGTAAACATTTCGGTGGCCAATTCACTGACTTCAGAATTGTCTCGCTGAATGCCACTTGATTTGATTGATTTCGAAATCTTGAAAAGAGAAAATTTGTACAAATCTGTACAAAAATAGCATGTCTCCATCTTTGTTATTAATATATAGATTAAAACCTGCTCCCATTGGCTCTTTCATGTCTGGCATTTCGTTTTTTATGAAATACAAAACCAAATGCATCGCCATTTTCAATTGATACACTTCCGCTGGCATTGCCATGCGCCATATATATCCGTATAGTCAGACGGATCATGATTTTAGCTCGAGCCCGGAACAGAACGTAAAATGACAGCGATACTGTCAACGCGTGGAAATTGAATGGAGATGGAAATTTGAGTCAGGGTGGTCAATTTATGGTTGGATGGATTTGTAAACTGTGTCAAGTTGTTATATTTTTTCTCGCTGATGTTGATCCGACTGCAATTAGCCAATGTCTGCTTTGGACTGATTTAGTGTCGCGTCGCCAGGCAATTACATGGGAATCCCCTTGGCCTGCCCTGTTCCGCCCATCGGACCTCGACTTGGCGACTGCCTCCCACTGCTAAATGAGCATTTCCTGGCATCCAGCGGCGGCATCCAGACATTGTCGACGTTTAATTGCTTTCTGCCCAACGAGAAATCTTCTACGGCCGCTCCGCTCGAAAATACAACAACAAACAGCGAATCTTCAATTTTTTATAGACCCATGCAAAGAAGAAGTTGGAAAAAATCAGAAGAAGTTCCTACTTTCGTAGATCGAAACTGGGAATGCTCTGGGAAATTAATTAATCGTTTTATATTAGTGGCTTTGAATTAACTAAACAGTATAATTTGTGTGAAAGTTGTTTATTATTTTAGATTGATGATAAGAAGATTAATGATGAGGCAACATTTCTGATTTATTTCTTTGGAAAAATGATGTACATAATCTCTTTCCATCTTATTGAACTTTTTGCTAAAACTGACTAACTTTCCCAAAAGAGTATTCGAACAAAACAAATCTAAAAATCAAAGAGAATTGTGTCTGCATTGCTTTTTCGCATTTTGTTTTTGGCCAATTGCAATGCCATGGACAGCGACATGGACATGGCCAAAGTAAAGTCTGTTTAGAAAGTCCGCTTCTCCTGCGTGAAATTAAAGTGTTTAGCTTTGGTTTGCTTCGCTTTGTTTTGTTTTTTGTTTGTTGTCTGATCGCTTTGTTCATCTGTCTGTTGGTTTCTTGTTTGTTTTTTTTTGTGTTTTTGTATTTTGGTTCGTCGGCCGTTGCGTTGTCTTCATTTGCATGGCGGGCAGCCTGAGATTAAACTGTCCATTAGCGTCAGCGCAGAGTCAAACTTGAAAGCTCCAAACTAAATGCCACCTTCTCCTCCTCTTTTCACGTTCAATTACAGAAGTCGTTTACGCTGATACTGCAGGCGTTGGATATGTACAACACATCCTATCCAGGTAAGTGCGGTGGCAATTGCAGACTTGTGCTCGTTACCACAGCCCCTTGTTGCAAGTTGCTAGTTGCATGCTTCTTGTTGCACGCTGCTCGTTATTGTTTGCTAGCCAGGCATTTGGCTTAATTAGCAAGTAAAGACGCAAAAAGGTACACTCAGAAAAACTCAAATATAAAAGCTGTTCGAGTAAAAGTAAGACCAACGATCAATCGTTTATATAAAATGTAAATTGATTTTCTCTGAGTGTACCCTTAAGCGCCCGAAATGGTGCCAACAAACTAACTAAATTCTCCTGCCCACATCCCATCTCCCCAAATGCCTCCTGTCCCATTGGAACGCCAACGTTGATGCCACCAACAACGAATCGGACGACAACGACAACAATTGTCATGCCACGCTCGCCTCCAATCGGAATCCCAAACCTAACAAAAACAACACCCAACTCCGTACCGAATGAAATGCAGATGCGGAGAGGTTAATTGAGGAAACATCATACTCGGGCGTGATACTGCCGTCGCCGGAGTGGAAGACGCTGGACCACATCGGGCGGAACGCGCGGATCACCTACCGTGTCCGGGTGCAATGCGCCGTTACCTACTACAACACGACCTGCACGACCTTCTGCCGTCCGCGGGACGATCAGTTCGGTCACTATGCCTGCGGCTCCGAGGGTCAGAAGCTTTGCCTGAATGGCTGGCAGGGCGTCAACTGCGAGGAGGCCATCTGCAAAACGGGTTGCGACCCCGTCCACGGCAAGTGCGATCGTCCGGGTGAATGCGAGTAAGTAGCTTACTTACCTACGAAACCTACCTGTTTTTTTCTATACTTTACTTTTATCCATACATCTTGTAATTACGACCCCCTGCCACCCCGTTTAACGATGTGATTATGACACTTTTTGCATATGGCCACTAACTTTGGGGCCGGCTTAATGGCCCTGGCCTCGAAGTCGCCGGTACACCATTGACAGCCAGGCTCACCTCGCTCGCACAGTTATAATAATGGCCGAGAGTGGTTTTCTTTTTGCGCGAGATCGGTGGCAGAGAAATGGGTTCTATAGTGCTCACATGGGGCGCTTTTTACAGTCTTTGACTTTTTATTCCCCATCACCTCTTTTTTTCGAGGCTAAATGTGTGAAATAGTTGGCAGCGTTTCTCTCAGGAAAATGCCAATCAGTCGATGGCGATTGCAGTGATGAGAAATGTCTAGGGGCTTACGTATTAGTAACTGCATTATTTTTTATTTAAGATTTTTAAAAATAGGCTAATTTCTGAGATTCCATAGCTCATATCACAGCCAAAACTAATGGTAGATCGGAAAGGATTGCATTTTTCGAAAACTATTTTTCATTATATTCGAATTGTGTTCAAGGTTTTTTTATTTTACGAAAAATTTTTTTTTTCGATTTTTGAAATTTTTGTAAGGGGTACCATCATCAAAATTGCGAAAAATTGGCAAAAATTCCATTTTTGAAATGGGTGAAACTGTGAATACAACTTTTTTATATAAGTCAAAAGTGGCACAGGAAAGGTGTTAGAACTGAATTTGGATGAAAAATGACGAAGTTATGGGGTTACAACTGTAGTTTTTTCAACCAAATATCACTTTTTTTACGTACGGAAAAGAACTGCAACTTTCTTTCCATTGATCCAATCGTTTTATTTCCCAATCAATCCGCATTCCTTATTAAATTGTTCACACTCGGTAACTGCCCATTTGGGAGATAACCCGAGTGCTATAAAGTTGTAACCAGGCATATAATCTGCAATCAAGTGCCAGTACCGATGCGATTCCCGGCGAGAGAGCAGGCTAATCAAACGCCCGCACGATGGCCAAATGCTGATCGGGCCAGGAACTCCTCCTCCTCATCCAACTTCATCTCCTTCTGCTCCGCTTTCTTGGTTAGTATTTTCAGTCCGCCCCTTAGGAGCGGTCATGCTCAAACGATGGCAACATGGAGCGACTGGCACAGCAAGAGCTTCAGACTTAAATATACTGTAAAAAAGCAAAAGATCTTATGGGAACTAACATTTTTGTTACTTAAAGTAAAAAAACTAGTTCTTAAACTATTTAGTTATCAATGTTTAATATTAGTGTATTACATTTTCACAACTTTATGGTATTATTTCTTTGTAAAACAACACGATCTTATACATTTCTTTCTGTGCACTTCCAAGTCCCATGACTGCAGCACGAAAAAACGTTTGTGCTTCGGTTGTTCCTGTTGCAGTTGCTGCAGTAGATGCAGCAGCCGCATCAGCAGCAATAGTTGTTGCAGTTGCAGCAGCGGCGGCAACAGTGGTTGTTGCCGTTGTTAATGTTCCAGCGTAACACAGAATACGTGAGCCAACGGCCATGATTGCATTTCTCGACTGCATCATGATGCTCTGTCAGGCATCCTATCCTCCAGTCCAGACCGTCCACCTCCTCTCGTCCTGATTCTAAATAGCAATAATTAGTGTGGCCTAGAAAACATCAAAAGTCAGCAGATTTCCGCTCCAGCCGCAACAATTATAAGTCAGAAGAAAAATTACTTTTGCTGTTTGCACGTTGCTGGCCCATTTGCGATTTGTTGGCCCGGCCAGAAGAGCCAGAGCAGCAGATTTGCAGCCAGATAACAACAGGCTGCCGTTTTAATGAAATCATAAATTACCGACATCGAACGGCGATGTCGACTATCGCCGGGCATGACGTGATGCCCAGAGCTTGTAGAGTTAGCACCTCGCCGGGCGATAACTCGATACTGGATGCCCCGGCAGGCTAACTTTGATCCCACTGCACTTTGGCGTGTTGCGGCGATAAAATCGCAGTTTCTTGCCCCAAGCTGGAGCAGGAACGGCAATTGCAGAAGTGGCCTGGCCAACTGGCTGCACTGCCACCTTAGCATTTGATGCATCAAGGCCAAAGTTCAGAGTGACCCAATTCGGTGGTTGGCCAGAGCCAAATGCGTTCCCAGGCCAAATTGAAATGTAAGGAAACACCAGAGTCGAAATCGCCGGATGAATAATGGGCGAATGTTTTCCCAAGATGCAGATAACCTTCGATGTTCTCTAGGATTGACTTACAATTACAGTACATTAAACAGACAATTTTTAACTAAAACAGGTACTCTTAAAGCTATTTTTGAAAATGGTATACAATTTTTCAGCCATTGGGTTTTTGCTTGCAAATAGGAAGCAGTTTCCTGTGAAGTTTCTTCTTTTATGGTGAAATCTGTTCCCCTGCTGCAGATATCATCTGTATGCTATCATATACTTCCATGCAACAAGCTCACCTTTCAGCTGGGGGTTCTACGCCTCATCTTGTAATCAAAGTTATGCTTACAAATCGGTCTCATCTTCATTTTTCTGGACTGTGTTTTCCCAAGATCCAGATCTAAAAGAAGATCACCTTTCGGCCAAGGTCTTTAAGGCTCCATTTTGCAATCAGAGTTATAGTTTTTTGTTGGGGGAAATCTTTTCCCAAGCTTCATGAATCCTTCAACTTTGAACTAACCTTTTGACTAGGGTCCTCTATGCTTCATTTACCAATCAGCAAGTGCAGACCCAGACTCATCAAAACTTCGATTTAATCCACAGATGCAGACCTGGCTGGCGGGGTCCATTGTGCAACGAGTGCATGGTCTATCCCGGTTGCAAACATGGTTCCTGCAACGGCAGCGCCTGGAAATGCGTCTGCGATACCAACTGGGGTGGCATATTGTGCGACCAAGGTAAGTTACCTGGCAATTACCAGTGGAAATGGGGACTTAAAGTGGGAAGGGGGTATCATCGATAATATCGATGCCTCTGCCTGTCGTACACATATCTCATAGTTTTCTTTTCGCCCTGAACAGATTTAAATTTCTGCGGCACCCATGAACCCTGTCGACACGGCGGCACCTGCGAGAATACCGCTCCGGACAAGTACCGCTGCACATGTGCCGAGGGCCTCTCGGGCGAGCAGTGCGAGATCGTGGAGCACCCCTGTGCCACAAGACCCTGCCGCAACGGCGGCACATGCACGCTCAAGGTAAGTCCCAGATTTATGCACTTTTTTGCAACGCCATAAAATAATTTAATACGCTCTGGATGGGCCCCCCATCCTGCATTCATCTACGCGGCACTGAAAGAAACTAGAGTAAAAGGCAGTTTTCATTTAATATCAGCAGAAAGTTTTATGTATGAAGTTAGTTCTTAGAACCAAGTTATATTCATTTCATGGTTAGATATTTATATAACATATAGAATATGTTTTGAAGAGTGTACCTGTTATCTTTGCAGCCAACCAACCGAACGCAAACGTCAATGTATCGGACAACGTACGGCAGGAGCAGCATGGGCAGATCGGTAAATCGGCGCAACTCGATGCGCAGCCTGGATCATCTGCGCCCGGAGGGGCAGTCGCAGAATGGAAGCAGCTCCTCGGGATTATTTCTGGGACTAGGATCCGTTGGCTCCCTGCAGCTGCAGGGGCAACTTGGCCCAGACTTCACTTGCGGCTGCGCAGCCGGATGGACAGGACCGACATGCGAAATAAGTGAGTTTTGATTTAATTTTATTCCACAGCACGCGATTAGCCACAGCTCAGCTGAATATGGCTCTTTGTCTGGGCAAGTTGGCCAAGTTGCTCGTTGGTAGATGTTGCCGTTGTACACTGGTGTTGCTGTTGGGCGACGATGTTGCTGTTGCCGCTCGATCATGCAATTGAGCACACACGCATTTGACTGTAGCGAAATGAAATGAAATGAAATGAAACGTAGCACGCACAGGCTGTTATTGTTGCCGGCTTTGGGTTTATTATGATTGTTGTTGCCACGGTGGTCCGGTGAATTTGGTCGGTTTGCTTCGGTTTTGCATTCCAATTGGAGCACGACCGACACATTCACCAGAAACTATTTGCTGGCCAATGCAATAAGCCGTAAGCTAATTGAGTTGCCATTCCCAAAACGAATGAGTCGGCGTTGAAGGATTAACATTTGTATTGCCAGTTTTTGCCTTACGTACATTGGCATGCCAATTAAGGGACTTGAATAGTTGGCAACAACTCGACTTGATTTATTGAAATTTCAATGGTTTGATTGTATTATTATTGTGCCTTGAAGTTGTTAACAATTTACTTAAGTTTTGATACAAATGTAACTTTTTTGTTTAGTTTTAAAGTAACAAATTAGACTCCAATCATAAAACTTGTTAACAAACCTTCCAAATGTCGTGGGAAATAATCAAGACTTTCATCTCCAAAAATGAATTTTCATAAAAGCTTAATTAAGTTAAAAGTTTCCCAAGCTGCAGCTGATCAAGAATCTGACCCTATTTGCGGCTAATGGCCAGCCAAGGGTCAGAACTTTATTTTGGGGTGCCCTTCTTATCAGACCCTCCGTAAAAAAACAAACAAATGAGTTGCGTGCTGCTGTAAAAGAGGGGGAAAAAGGAGTAAAGAGAAGGAAGCATCGTCTCCTGAAGATTTCAGGCAACCGATAAGACAGGCACGCAGGCTTAAACTGCCTATACCAATAATACCCATGCCCATCCGCCAGTCAGTTCATTGACTTGAGCCCGGGCTAAGAGCCACCTGCTCAGGCTTCTGCTACTCGAGAGCTCAACAGCAAAATCAACACATTCACCGAGAGAAAATGAGTTCTTATGTCAACATTAAATTATAATCAACTAAGTGGTTCTTAAAGTCAAGAATCAAGTCTAAAAATATTCAATAGTTGTCGTTAACGAATAAAATTATTAACTTAATAAAATTTTTAATAATCTCCGACCACGCTCGATGTTAACCATTTAATTAAGAATATTGTAATAGACATTGCGATTAGTTAATGGAAGAACTTGATTTCGTTTTATTTTCTACATTTTTTCTCAGTGCTTGCATTTTATCTGTGGATGGCACTTAACAATCTGCTTGAATTTCCCCTCATTCCTTTCCAGATATCGATGAATGCGCCGGGGGTCCCTGCGAGCATGGTGGCACTTGCGTCGATCTAATCGGCGGCTTTCGGTGCGAATGTCCGCCGGAGTGGCATGGCGATGTCTGCCAGGTGGACGTCAACGAGTGCGAGGCGCCGCATTCTGCCGGAGTGGCTGCGAATGCTCTGCTGACTACTACGGCTACTGCTATTATTGGGAGTAATCTGAGCAGTACTGCTCTACTGGCTGCTTTGACCAGTGCGGTGGCATCCACATCCATGGCCATTGGACCCTGCATTAATGCCAAGGAGTGCCGCAATCAGCCGGGTTCCTTCGCCTGCATTTGCAAGGAAGGTTGGGGTGGTGTCACCTGTGCCGAGAACCTGGACGACTGTGTGGGCCAATGCCGCAATGGAGCCACATGCATTGACCTGGTCAACGACTACAAATGCGCCTGTGCCCCAGGATTCACAGGTCGTGATTGTGAGATCGATATCGACGAGTGTGCCACTTCACCCTGCCGGAATGGGGGTGAATGCGTGGACATGGTGGGCAAATTCAACTGCATTTGTCCACTAGGATATTCAGGATCTCTGTGCGAAGAGGCCAAGGAGAACTGTACTCCATCCCCTTGTCTTCAGGGTCACTGCCTTAATACACCCGAAGGATACTACTGCCACTGTCCTCCAGATCGCGCCGGTAAACACTGTGAGCAACTGCGTCCGCTCTGCTCCCAGCCGCCCTGCAACGGTGAGTAAAAATAGCCAAGACCTCCAAGATGCCATGGGAACCGATCTTACCCCGATGAAGACATCATTAAGCTCATCAATCGCAGATTGCCAGCTTTTTGTCGTCTTTTGAGAGACGCGAGATTCCTCGGGCATACACTTGGAAAATAGTTATAGATATAAAGAAACTTTCGATAGCTTAAATTCCTGAATTTCTGAAGAATTTCTAATTTATCAATACCTTCAAATATTTTGACTGCACCTAAGGGATAGAAGCGTTTATTCCTTTTTGAATTTAAATATTAATATTTCAAGTTATATCAACAAATTTCCCAAAGTGTAACCCAGCGTTAATAAGCCTAATCATGTCCCCCAATCCAACAGAGGGCTGCTTCGCCAATGTCAGCCTTGCCACAGCAGCGACAACGACGACGACAACAACCACTTCTGCGACAACCACGAGGAAGATGACCAAGCCAAGCGGATTGCCCTGCAGCGGGCATGGCAGCTGCGAGATGAGCGACGTGGGCACCTTCTGCAAATGCCATGTGGGCCACACCGGCACCTTCTGCGAGCACAGTGAGTAATCCACATACACAGCCAAAGATGGCAAACTCATTAACTTTCCGCAGATCTCAACGAATGCTCGCCGAATCCTTGTCGAAATGGGGGAATTTGCCTTGACGGTGACGGCGACTTTACATGCGAGTGCATGTCGGGCTGGACAGGTGAGTCGCGTCGGGATGAGATGAGTTGAGTTGAGATGAGCTCAACTGAACTGAGGCGAACTGAGCCGGGTTGAGTCGGGTGCGCTTTAAGCGGCCAGGCCGCCAAAGTGAACGTCAAAGCGTTGCAACAAGTGCAGACTGCAAAAGAAGTGCCGAAGTCGGTGCCTAAATACCCTTGGGGCAGGCAGGTCGTTAGCGGAGATTAGCGAAAGTAATCCTAAAGAAAATAATGTATTACCAAGGATAAGATACTCTTAAAATCAAACTGCTAGGAGTATAGCTTAAAATTAATATGAATTTCTAGAAAAATCAGTCAATGACTATATATCTAAAAACCTAAATTAGTTATTCAGAAAACAAATATTTTTATAATCCATCCCCTTAACATTTACAACCTTACTAAGTAGTTTTTACTACTCCTTCCGAGAGGGCATAAAAACCTGCTGTAAGCCGACTGACTGACTGGCGCATTATCAACGCTTGGGGGCTTTAAATGGGCGCGAGACGAGTGTTGGCCACGTTAAGAGCGCTACGCTCTCACACACACGATCGAGTCGGTCGCATTTATTTGAACATTGAAAGTCGGCAGTCATTACGGCCTCAAATTGAAGCGAATGCGGCTGAGCCGCGAAGCTTTTAAAAAAAATATATATCTGCGCGTTAGTCGCAGTCTTCGTAGCCGGCGAATGTATTTGCCACATGTGGCAGCCAAAATCACCGAGGGGGGCCAACCGCAGCTAGGCCGAACCTTTGCCATGATTTATGTTTGTTTTTAATTTGCGATTTGCATATTTCACGCGTTTCGCTTTTTTGTCACAGACACAGATACAGAAAATGAAAATAGATTCGGCCACAGTTTAGACAGAGATACAGACAGTACCACATCGATCTTTGTCGGCACACTTTTACTTTTCAATTAGTTCGAGCCAAGCCAACGGTCATGGCAATCCTCTTTCTATGAAATAAAACTCCCACACTCCCAATAAGTTTGTTGTCTAAGTCTTTCGTTTCTCGGAAATCTATTTTTGCTAGAAACTACGATCAACGTTTGAAGTTGTAAAAGCCGAATTGGCACATACAAATGGGTTGTCTAGAAAGCTCTACATAGTTTTAATAACTGAGGGGTCTATTAACTTCCACCAGTTAGTTAGCTCCCACTAAGTTTGTTTCCTAAGTCTTTTGTTTCTCAGAAGTCTATGTTGCAAGGATAAATAATTTAAAAAAAGGTTTTATTGTATTCCTAAAGCAATTTTTTTTTATTTATCTCTGTGTAGGTAAACGCTGCTCGGAGCGCGCCACAGGCTGTTATGCCGGTCAGTGCCAGAATGGTGGAACCTGCATGCCCGGAGCCGCGGATAAGGCTCTGCAGCCGCATTGCCGCTGTGCGCCCGGTTGGACTGGTCTTTTCTGCGCCGAGGCCATTGACCAGTGCCGTGGACAACCGTGCCACAATGGCGGCACCTGTGAGTCAGGAGCAGGCTGGTTCCGATGCGTCTGCGCCCAGGGATTCTCCGGTCCGGACTGCCGTATCAATGTAAACGAGTGCTCGCCGCAGCCTTGCCAAGGAGGTGCCACCTGCATCGATGGCATCGGCGGTTACAGCTGCATCTGCCCACCAGGACGTCATGGAGTGCGATGTGAAATTTGTAAGTACAGATTTATATTGAAAGTTTTTATTTCAAGTTTCGAGAAAATTGGCTTACATAATATTATATTTCAATCTCTTTTCATAGTGCTCTCTGACCCTAAGTCCGCATGCTTAAACGTGAGCAATACCATCTCTCCATATACTGCCCTAAACCGAAGTCAAAATTGGCTGGACATTGCACTGACAGGAAGAAGTGATGAGGACGAAAATTGCAATGCCTGTGTCTGTGAGAATGGCACGTCCCGTTGCACGAATCTCTGGTGTGGATTACCCAACTGCTATAAGGTGGATCCACTCTCCAAGTCCTCGAATCTCTCCGGCGTTTGCAAGCAACACGAGGTGTGCGTTCCGGCACTCAGTGAAACCTGTCTTTCTCCGCCCTGCAATGTCCGAGGAGATTGTCGAGCTCTGGAACCATCTCGAAGGGTTGCTCCGCCCAGTCTGCCGGCCAAATCCAGCTGCTGGCCCAATCAAGCCGTGGTCAACGAGAACTGCGCCCGGCTCACCATCCTCTTGGCCCTGGAGCGTGTGGGCAAGGGTGCATCGGTGGAGGGTCTCTGCTCTCTGGTGAGGGTTCTTCTGGCAGCCCAGTTGGTCAACAAGCCGTCAAGTCCTTCTGCACAGGAGCAGGGCACACTCATGGTGCTTTGCGATCTCAAAACGGGCACCAATGATACCGTTGAACTAACTGTGGTAAGTGCTTTAAAAATTCTTTAAGAATATATACTTTGAAATTAATATTTTTATACATTTTTTTAATGGTTATTAACAAGTTTATTAAACTCTTTCTTACATTATAAATATTGCCAAAACTTACTCTAACCGCAATTTTCTACTTTTCATTTCCAGTCCTCCAGCAAGTTGAATGATCCCCAGTTGCCGGTGGCAGTGGGCCTGCTGGGTGAACTCCTGAGCTCCCGGCAGTTGAATGGCATCCAGCGTCGCAAGGAACTGGAGCTGCAACATGCCAAGCTGGCTGCTCTCACCTCTATTGTAGAGGTCAAGTTGGAAACGGCCCGAGTGGCTGATGGATCGAGCCACAGTCTGCTGATTGGAGTGCTTTGCGGCATCTTTATAGTCCTGGTTGGATTCTCTGTGTTCATCAGTCTGTATTGGAAACAGCGTCTGGCTTATCGCACCAATTCAGGAATGAACCTGACTCCCTCCCTGGATGCACTGCGTCACGAGGAGGAGAAGTCGAATAACTTGCAGAATGAAGAGAACCTGCGGCGGTATACGAATCCGCTGAAGGGCAGCACGAGTTCCCTGCGGGCGACAACTGGAATGGAACTCAGTTTGAATCCCGCTCCGGAATTGGCTGCCTCCGCGGCGAGTAGTTCCGCTTTGCATCGCTCACAGCCACTATTCCCGCCCTGCGATTTCGAGAGGGAATTGGACTCCAGTACGGGGCTTAAGCAGGCACACAAGCGAAGCTCTCAGATCCTGCTGCATAAAACTCAGAACTCGGATATGCGGAAGAACACAGTGGGCTCGCTGGACAGTCCGCGAAAGGACTTTGGCAAGCGGTCAATCAACTGCAAGTCCATGCCACCCTCATCGGGCGATGAGGGCACCGATGTCCTTGCCACCACTGTGATGGTTTAGCCGTGATCTCACCAAACAACCAATCAAGAAACCAACCAGCCGCCCACAGCCAGCTCAAAGTTCCAATTGCCACAGCACGGGCGCGATTTCCAAGTGCATTAGTAGAGTAATTAAAACTAGGATTCGATTTAGGCTTAGAGGGTATTCCACATGGAAATGGTTCTGCAGAAAACTCTCTAACCTAACTTCAAGACTATTTAGGTAAGATTGGGTACAGAAATAAATTAGCTAGTTAATCAAGCCATTCATGGCCACGGCTTGAGCAAATTTATTTGTATACCTGATCTTATCCTAAGTCGAAACCAGTTTAATGGCATTAGAGTTTGGGAATACAAGTATAAATACACTTAATTTGCCTGCTTCAAGTTCTCTATAAGCACGAGTTAACGGAGTTTGATTTTTTGAATTTTAAAGGTGTTTCCTGCAGAGCCAGATCGATGTGGTCATCCAAAATATATAAGTTAGCTAATGTAATTCCTAACTCTTCTCTTCGCTAAGCAACATCCTACACAGTGTGATATTTAGTGTAACCCAGGCGCGCATTTACATTCATTTAAAAGTATATAAAAATATATATATTAAAGATAAAACAACTCCTTGGCTAGCACAAGCTGTATATAGTTCTCATTTAGGATCGACGCGCTCAATATGATGTATAAGCTGTAAATACTGTAAATTAGCAGTTACCGTTATTGTATTTTGTCTATAGATAGAATCCTAGTATTAAACTAAGAACCAGCCGCAACGCGTTAGACTTTAAAAGTTGTTTGCAATTGTACGCAATAATTTGAAATTAAGATCGTAGTTAGGTAGCTGTGTAACCCCGGGTAAGATTCAAACGATTTTGTATTGTATTATACCTATGTGTGTAGTAATATTTATTTATTATATTAACTTTGATTTAGAAGCAATAAAGCAATATCAATAAAGATAGTAAAAGAGATAATAATTTGAAGGCATTTCTTAGTTTTGGAATATTTAAAGCATTTTTCGGTAAGTAACTCTTTAATATTATAACCCTTAAGTTTTTATTTCACTTTTTCATTCTAAACTTAATCGGGTTCACTATTTATATTCAACATTAAAACATTTTTCGAGTCCTTTGAAAATTCCAATGGGCTATAAGGTAGTTATGAACTGTTTGACTCTTTTTCCATCGAAATCATTTCCTGTCATTTGGACTCGTCTGGATCGAACTGAAATATGTTCGGTTTGTATTGCGGCGATCGCATTTGAAATATGCGCTAATTGAATGTGAAAACCAAATGCAAGTTGGGCACTACAACGGATCGAATCCGAAGAGAAGACCATCCGATCGGCACTCAAATGGAGAGACTGGCGAAACAGATCAGAAGCCAAAAGGAAAGAAAGCGAAATCGACCAGCGAGCAATGCATTTTGCGTTGTTCGGTTTCTAATTAAAATACCAAAAAGAGCCAGCCGAAACACACAAAACTAAGCTCAGCGGATGATCAAGGCCCGAAGGAGTGGATTCAGATACGGATACTGAAGAGGTGGCGGGGGTTTGCCACAACGTGCGTAAATTTCGTCAGCGGTAAACTCGGCTCGAACAAAACGAAATGGCCGGGTTCTGGTGTATGAGTGTGTTGTTAATGAAGCAGAAAATGCCAGGAATTTTCGCTTGATTGTGGCTGCCTCTTGTTCTCTTATATTCCGCCTTCCACATAAAAAAAATTTAACATTTGGCTTTAGACTTTGAGAGTTTAAGGTCTAATTTAGTAGAAAAGATAATACATTTTTTTCACAGTCATTAAAGAGATGAAATAGTAATAGTAAAACGGGTATAAATATAATCTTTAAATAACTTATGGAAATTTCTTTCAGTGTACGGCGGCTCAAGTGTTTTATTTAGTTATTGAACAGCGCTATCCAAGGCCTGGGACTTTGGTAGCCGCCCTTTTCAAACCGCTGCAGTCGAGCGAAAATTTAGCGGCATTTTTGGCGCTTTTTTCTGTATTATTTCTCCTGCCAAGCGCTCGGCTGATGTTTCGGTGGTTGTTGCTGTTTTTTAATTAACGCGCGATACGTTTTCAACTTTGAAGGGCCAAGGAGCGCACATGATGGGCATATAACTCATTGGAATTATGGTGGAAAGGGGTAGCCAGTCAACCGACCGGAGGTAACAGACGAAGAAGAGGAAACGGGCCAGCGGGCCTGGGCTGCGAGCTAAAGTTGTTCGGCCAGAACAGAACGTACATAAACTTTATCCGTCTATAATCTAAATATGTTTCTCGGTTGCTCTTTGCGCCGTTGTCGTGGCTGTTGCAACAATTTGCAGCAAATTGAAAGCCAATTACGTTGTTTGCAGCATGCCAAGGCAGCGACGGTCGCTGCGGATCGGATCGGAACAGCCACATAGCCAGGGCCTCTTGGCCGGCAGACAGGCGAAATTGCGAGGCACACAACTCTCGTAGACGACATAAATATCAAATACAGGTCCATAAATTTGAAACCAATTAGCCAACTTAAATTGATAATAGTTTGCCGCTGCGAGTGGTTTCAGGAGCTGGGTCTAGCATTTGCCTACTGGCCGCAGGAAGCTGCCACCGACGAGACGCGAACCTCCGCTCGAGGATCTCTTTGGCGATCGCTAATGGCAGTGCCATTTGATGACATACGTCGCTCGTGTTGAGCCGCCAATTTTCGACCGACAATTGCTGGCCATATATGTATGTAAAGCCGTAGCAGCAACAGCAATCGAAGCAACAGCAGCAGCAGTAACTGCCACGGCAGAAAATGCATCGTCTCATATGTCGCATGTCGTGCCTGTCGTGTCGTTCTAATCACAATTGCTGCCTCTGCCGCGGCTGCGCCTTTTTATGGCGCTTTTATGCAAAACAACTTAATTTCCAGGCCCGATCCGTTTGCAACAATGCAGCGCGTAAAATATGCACTCGCAGGCAGCAGCAGCAGCAGGAGCTGCAGCAACATGGGTCGCAAAACGAAAGACTTAGACAACGAACTCGTACAAATGTTTCGTCCATTTGCCTGTGTGTCGAGCTGTTATAGAAAATTATCTGAAACTGATTTGATATATATTCAAATAGGCGCTGTGCGACACATGTTGCTGCTGTTACATGCAACATTTGCCGTATTTGTTGCACGCAGCAGCAACAGCAACAGCAGAGCTCCTGGAGGAGCCAAACCACAACCGACTGGTAGCCAGGTTAGACTTGTCGTTGTTATTTGTATGAAATGCTACGGATAACATCGCCAGCAGTAAACGTTTAGTTTGTGTTTTAATTAAAATATTTTCATTTCCCCTTGCGCCAGCGACAGGCGAAGATTGCCGCTGAGAAACACGCTGCGACTGGATCAAGATCCAGGCACATCCGCGTCTTGCTGGACAAGTGGCATTTATAAGCAACATTATAAACTAATTTAGGTGGGGAATTGATTGGCTAATAGACCTGGGAAACGTTTGAGAGAAAGTCTAAGGAATGTATATACTAACAAAAATTATTTCGGGAGAAGGAAATAATCAAATGGATTATTTTAAATCGTTGTAGTAAGTGTCAGCTAGTCAAATTTCCAACTTGTTTAACAAGTTTTTAACATTTTAGAAACTTGGCCTAGTCTCTTACCCATCTGTTTATAATCTTACCCTAAGAGACTTTAACGAAAAAATCCCAATTAAAATGAATAATTCGATTTGAATGTCAAAACATTAGGAGTTAATCCTACAGACAATTTAACCCCTCTTAGGCGGTCATTAATTGATTTACCAAACCCCCCGAAAAGGCACCTTAAAAGAGAAAGAGGAACCAGAAAACCAGTGAAAAATTACCGATCTGCGGCAGAACCACGCTTTATAAATGTCAGAGGCGACATTAATGTAGCGCATTTGTCTAATTAGACAAGCGTTTTGAGCATGATGCTCTGCTCTCGCTCTACGCCAAATAAATTAATCAGCTAATTGATGAGCATAAATTACGGGCATGCAAATGAGACGAGATCGTGGCTAGCTGGTCTAAGCTTATTGATGGCCAGGCCAAATTAAATTGGGCAAATGAGCGGACCCCGGCAATTTAGTATGTCAATGGCCGATGTTTAAGGGCCACCCACTGGGCAGAAGATAAAAAACAAATACTCTTTTTAAATCGAAGCTTGCCAGGTGCAATGTACAACTCAATTAATAACAATTTCTCAGAACAATAAGCCAGGCAAGCAGGCGGCAACCGAAGTGAGTGCAATCCTTTTTGGCCAACATTTGATTATCTCACGGCCAGAGTGGCTCCTCCTGGGGCTGCAGCTAAAGCTTGTGGCTATGGCTCTTGCTATCGGGTGCTGCCATCGGGGCGGCGCGGTGTCGCGGAATTAGCCACTCTGGGCCTGAACTTTGCCGGTGCACGAGGTCGTGGCCAAATTGCCAGGCCATGCTCGGCAACGGAATGTTTGTTGGCTCTCTGCTTTTTGTTTTAATTGAAAGCCGTACGAAATGGAAAATGGACTTTCAACTTGCCAGTTTGGTAAATTACCCACACAAAAAAATGTAATTAGGTTTGTTTTTAAAAATAAAAATTCATAAATAAAAAAAACTCTTAACAATTGAGGAATTTTAAACTATGTTGCCTTAAAATTTAGATATTTACAGTTCCTAATATGGGTATGTCCTTTACCTGATCTCAAAACTTTTTTAAAACAAAATCATAAACGTTTTTCAGTGCATCTAACACAAGCCAGACTATTTCTAATTTTGAGGCCCAACTGCATTACAGGGCAGTCGGAAATTTATGGCGGGCCAGGCAGTGTCGAAAATAGCGCCAGCAACTCCGCGACAGGCGAAGGCGAGCGATGACGACGAAGACGATGCGAGCCCGATGTTGATAGCCATAGCTTTTCGCGGGTTGGAGTTACTTTCTAATGCTGCAGTCACAGAGCGGAGATGTGGATGTGGATGAGGATGCATTGCACACGAAAGTCATAAGCGCAACCAAGGCAATTAAGTTCGAGCGACAAGTTGCGCCGCTGGAAGCCAGGAAACTCGGTTAGGATCGGGTGGGATCGGTGCAAGCTGGGAAGGAGGGGGCTGTGCTGCAGCTGTTACATGTTTATGGCTCGAAACGGATCGCACGTAATGGGATTTGCGCTGAGCGACAGCGATAGCCTGTGACTGCACCAGCACCGGTACGACATCAGCAAATGCCTCGCCAGCCACCAGGCCCAGTCGCATCCACAGATTCAGATCCAGAGCCAAAGCTATATGGGTAGAGCTATAGCCACAAGTGCTGCTTCGACTCCAGCGCCTCAATAAAGCCGATCGCATTACCAATTAGGCGTGCACACTCGGCTAAACAGCCGCCTCCTTCTGGCAAGTGGAAATTGAATTAGTTGTCGCTGCATATGCGTGACTAGCTGCTACTCGGAGCTCCATGTTCAGCACTAGTATGCACTGAGAAGAAACTATACAAAATAAAATTAAGATAATTCCATTGATTTCTTAAGTTTTTTATACTTTTCTTTGAATAAAGATCCCAATGTTTCCGATGGATTTGTTAAATTTTTAACATATATTGAAAAAAAATAATAACAATCTCAAATTTTTCTACGTGTATAATCAAAAGGCCGCAGGCTAGCGAGCTGCAGTCTGGTTTGGGTGTCGCCGTTCGTATGTGTAAACACTTTTTACACTTTGCCACATTCCTGCGCTGCGCGCATAAATCAGGCAGTGCTCGCCTGTCAATCTGGAACTGCGCCATCGATAGGAATCGGGGTCCTCGTGGAGTGGAGGTGATCGGAGGAGCTTTTAGCAAGTGCCAACAGCTGGCTAGGTGTGTGCTAGCTGTAGCTTTGTTTTCTGTACCAATGCGATTTAATGCAAACGGTTGAGGTTCCTGTTTTCTATTATAACTATTCATATTTGGCCAATATTCTATGTTTAAATTTATATGTATTTAAACAAATTGTATTTCAAAATACAGTTTTATCTCTAACTACAAACCTTAAAATTACAATTATTTAACACATTATATAAGAAGAAACTTAATACATAATATAACTAATAATTAATAATTAATTAATTACACAATTCTTAAAACTAGGACTTGAGAAGCTCATTCTTTTAATATTACTATTACCTTCGAGTAATTAAACTAAATTCTTTAAACCGAAAAAAAGTAAAAGTGAAGCTGAGAAAATAACAAGCCAAGCCAATGCAGTCTCAATCAGATTCCTCAATTAATCTACTTGTTCTCCACGACTTGCCCAAGTGAAGATCAGAGCTGGACGAAAACCAGATGCGCTCATTGATCAGGTGCGAATGCTGGTACCCCAAGGCGGGCTCCACGCGGAACTGATCCTTGACGCAGCGATGCGTGAGCACATTGGTGACGACCCACTGTCAGTGGATTGAATTATGAAAGCAAAAGGAAATTGATAGGTTTTAAAGACTTACTGCCAATTCGTGTTGACGTTGCAGTCTCCTCATACTTTCATGCAGTTCCAAAAGCAACTCGTAACGCCGGGCGCCATCTTCGAGCATTCGCAGAGAAAATGCCAGGGAGTCGATTACAATCAGCTTAATCTGAAACGACAGTTGGGTTTTAAATGGCAGTTTTGCTTAAGATTCATTCAATGTTTCATCAAATTAGACTTTACACAGGAAATGGTTTATCTTAAGGAGGAATAAAATCAAAAATTACATCTGGATGATCTCCAAGATGCCGATGACAGCTCAAAACGGTGGCCATTAACTGAACCACATTGGGACATCTGACATGGTAGATTTTTTGCAGCATTTTGAGGGCTTTAAATTCAGGTACTTTGTGCTCATATTGCCTCTCCAGTATCTGAGCTAAACCTAAAAGTAAAAATTTAAATTAATACATATGTACATATATGAAAGAAATATATGCAATGGACTAACCTAGCAATCTGTCCGGATGAAAATCTTGTCGAGAGTCAATGAACAAAGCACTTCCTTCCAAGCCGCCAACAGCCTTGGGAATTTGAACATTCAGGCACAATTGCAAACTATCAATTAATGTTTTAATAAGTCCGTAAAAATTATTAAGAAATACTATTAAGAACGAAGGGACTCACCACATTTGGGTTTTCCCAGTACCCGAATTGCCAATCAGCTCTACAATATGACCCAAGGATATTCCACCTCCAAAATGTCTGTCCAGAGCTTTATTCCCCGTTAAGATCTTATTCGAGTTGCTCTGAGAGATATCCCAGCAGGATCTATTAAATATATTGAGGTTTTCGCTGGACACAGATGGACCTTTTGCCATAGCTCTTTTTGCCGATGGCTGCTAAGTCTATGAAACTCGATTAACTTCAAGGAATTCGTATATTTATATATTTACTAGAGCCTAATAAGTAAGTTTAACTTACTTTATATCTTAATAAAGTAACTAATTGCATTATTAAACACTCTGGAGACAAAAATTTAGAAACAATATAATCAAAACAAGCGCGCCATATGACTTAACATTATTATTTTACCTTAAATTGCTATGTTAAGCTAGTTAGCTGTTAAAAGCTGGTTGCTGTAAAATGCGATAACGATAGCTGCTAGCAAGATAGCTTGATGTCGTACATCTGGTTACACCACGAAACATATGTTTTTTGTTTACCATTTTATTTCCTGCGACGCGATTTTATTGGACTTTAGTCATCGAAAATGTTGAATTTAAAACACTTGGCCAGCCACGCCTACCGCCAATATGAACTGGTGACATGCATTAATATGCTGGAGCCCTGGGAGAAGAAGTTAATCAGTAAGTATAGAAGTTCGAAGATCAATTTGATTGCTAATTCAGATTATCTCCCCATCAGACGGATTCTTTCTGATTATGTTGTCCCTGGTAATCTTCTCCAGTTTTATGTACCTACCGGACTATCTGGAAACCCTAATGCAGTTCATAACGCCAGCAGCCTGGCATAGTTCCTCGGAGAATACAGCATATGTGGCACAGAAAATGGCAAGGAGCTGAGCTCCCACTCTCCCATATAGTATACCCGCTACATAGCCTTGCCCACACATACTCCCTAAAGAAAGACACTTATGATTTAAAACTTATTGTGATTTAATTCGTCTGGTCCAAGATCTGTATATATCTAACCGTGCCAAGAAATATCCGTTTAACCCACTTAACCATCGTTTTTCTATATCGCAGACAAAGTACAATGGCCTCCACTATTCGCAAAGCGGATGTGTTGAAGAACAAGCCAACCAGACCTCCAAGAGAAACTAAAAATATAGGTTCCAGTTCAGATATTATAGGTACTAATCAAAGATGTTAAAGCTTACTTAAGAAATCAAGGATAGTTTTGGTTACCCGACGAACGTAGCGTTGCGTGGGCAGCTCCACTAGAGCCACTCGGATTTCTGATACATCATCAGTGGCTTCATCATCCCTAGACATTAAAAGAGGAACTTTAATAATAGCCTATTTCCTTATCTATTAAAGGCGTAAGCATTATATTTAGATTCAATTTATTTTTTATAATAATTTATTTTTGAAATGTTGGACTAATCATGACTTGAAAATGTACTTACTCATCCGCCGAGTTGTAAATAATATTGTACTCAGGCTCCTCGCAAGAACTCATGCACTCACACGACTTGCGCTCTGACATGATTTTATCCCGGATCCTTGTTAGACAGATTAGGCCACGGTAGTCGCAGGCGGGCATATAATTCTGGCCAGGAGTGGCCATAAAATGACTGGTACAGTTGCAATTATCAAGCTGGAGAAGCACGGTGCTAAGATATATAAATTTAATTAGGGTTTTTTTTTATAAGATTTCCAAGAATTACCATTCCACCACGCATCCGGAGTAGCTGTAAAAGTCATAGATTCCCTGCCTTTCCGGCACATGCTCATTGCCATATCGACATCGCCGCTGCTCCAAGCTAAGATCCTGGACACTTTCGTCGTTGTGAACTTCGATAACATTCAGGATTAGCTCCTTGTAGTGACCAAGTAATACTGTTTCTCGAATCATACCCTCAGAAAACTGATAGGGCACATCAATAGGAGCATGAACGTACAGTTGGATATCGGCGGCGGCATGGAAATTTAGATGTCCTGGTCCGGTAATCCGGTTATTGGTGAACTGGACATGGGACACCTTGCGCGCCTGATGTGAATTGAAGGAGTAACATAATCCATACTCCGTGGGCAATGGTAAAAACTGGTCGCAACAGTCAAACATATCGTTTAGATAGCTGCAATTCACCAGTAACTGGTGGCATTTAGTGCGAAACTGTAGTGATTCAAGGATATTATATAGCACCTTTCAATCAGATACAATTAGGTATAGAACAAACCACATCCACCAGCATGGTGAAGTTGTCAGGACATCGCATCTTGCTGCAATCCTCACAACTGCTGCAAACCCCTCGATAAAATACTATTTCCGAGATGAAGTCATCCACATGCATATCGTGCTCCACGCCGAAATGTGAGTCACTTAGGTCCCAAATCCTTTCGGCGTTGTATATCTCGCATACAGTTATAGCCGGAAAAGTGGAATTCCAATTTAAGCTTAGGAATATGAATATATATTTATATATTTCTGAAGTAAATTAATATTATTCAGCTTACTATATAGTATCCAAGTTAAATGAAACCGACGAGGAGAGATAGCTGTGAAGCAGAGACATTGAAACGCTTCCAAAGAAGGGCAGTGTATGGTAAAAAGTTATCAAGTAGAGAATCCTGAAATAAAGTTAGTCTCACAGTCAGAAGTACCTAATATATAAAAACTTACATCTTTAAAAAGAATCCCCAGTGCATTGTGAACTTCTCAGCAGAAAAAATCAAACTGTTTGACCAACTTTTCCTTCGTGTCCTTTTCAGCGACGAGCTTTTGTTAACAAAAGGCCGATATGATATCAATCTTTCCATTGTTTCCTCTTTGGGCCACATTAAGTTAACTGTCCTGTTTTATTGGCTTGAATTTAGTTCAATGTTAAAGCCAACATGAAACAGTCGCGCCTGGTGATTATTTAGATAGACATCCTAAATTCATAAATCATATTGGTCAAATGCACCAAATGCTCCAAACACTATATCTTTGTTCACTACAGTAAATATATAATATATATATTGGATAAATGCTAGGTATGTATTGGAAACTAAAAATTATATAATTTCTAGTCGGATTCTAAGCCCAAGTCATATGTATCTTATATGGACAATAAATGCAATGAGCTAACCGCAAATAATAGCATACCAATAGCATTACCATTACTGATGACTCAGATCTTTGGATATATTTTTCGATCAAAAGTTGCAGTTTAAATCAGTATATGGAGAAAAAGTTTAGTGTAATTGCGTGTCAGAATGATTGCAATTATTTAATTTCTCAGAAATCACGTTTTTATTGAGTGATATTTTTCTACAAAATATCAAAACATAACATTGTAAGATGCTGGGGCTATAACGCTCGTGAATCAAACTTATTCGGAACCCTCTATCTTAAGCAAAGCTTTAACTATATAAATACCTATGAGTCAGTAGGCTATGCACCACTGCATTTGATTCGAAACAAGCATTGTTTAAATGAGAAAAATCTTATATCACTAACTAAAAAAAAGTATGACTAAGATTAATGTATCTTTAGGTCTAGTTTAAAAAAACTAATAATAAGCAGGCAGTCGATTTTCAAAAACCTACTTAGGTAATTCATCTCAGGTATCAAAATTCAACACCCGTATTTTTTACTTGATAAACCCACCGAAATAAACACTTCTTCTGATTATTGCTGCTTATATCATATATTAAATAAATTTACAAAGCTAGGGAATCCTCTAGAAGAACTATGGCAAGGGACCTTAAGACTACGGATATAAATAAGATGGTGTCAGTTAGGTTAATCAGATGTATCAGGTGGCTCTACTGCAGGTTCTGAGTGATCCAGGGAAGCATATCGATAACGCTAGCGAAGATTCCTGGTTGATTATTGTTGCGGCCGCAGAGTTTTCCGCCAAAGGAGACCACGCCGTACTGAACCACTCGGTAGGTGTTCTTGAATTGGTGCTTGAAGAACACGGGGCCACCGGAGTCACCCTGGCACGTATGCTTGATTCCGGTTCCTGTGGCACAAATATGGTTGTCATTCACCTCGCCCTTGTTGTAATACTGACGACACTCGTCCAGATTCTTCCTGGTGATCAACGCCTGCTGTAATTTAGAAGCGACCGTTGCTTTCTCAGTTCCACCCCAGCCGGCGACGAAAAAGCTTTGATCATAGGCCAGTTCCTGGGATCGCCGATCGATGGGCAGGCAGACGGGCTTAATATGCGATTTTTCCTTAACCACTCGATCCAGCTTAATGATGGCCACGTCAAAACTGATCTCCCCATGAACGTAGTTGGGATGCACGTGTATCTTCTCAATGCCGTACTCCTCGTAGGGCGGTAGGCAGACGCGGTTAATCCCGCCCAAATAGTGACAGTCCTCCTCCGTATCAAGATCATGCTCGCCCAGACGAACCGCAATTCTGAAATAAGAACCAGTTTCAGACATTAGTCAACTGTTGGGAATTCAAATAGTACCAGCATTTGCAAAATTTTTAAAGATTGTTTACCAATATGAACTTAATATGATTTCATCAGATTAGGAAACTTAAAATACATATCTTTACTTTTCTTTTCAAACACTTTTCTGATAAATTTTTGTTTATTATTTTTAAGGAACTTACACTTCAGGCTGGTCCACGATGCAATGAGCGGCAGTTAGGATGTGGCGCTCGCTGATCAGACTGCCGCCGCAGAGGAAGGGACGCTGATCGTTGATCTTGTACTTAAGCAGTGCCACCCAGGGAAAATCACCGGGTTTGGCTGTCTTTCCTCCACTGACCTTCGGATTGCCTTTGTTTCCGCAGTTGGACACCCTGTCCAGCAGTTGGAGACCCCGCTGATCATAGCGGTTCAGATTTCCACCCTCCGATCGCACAACCTTCCTCTGAGACTCCTGATTGGATTGCGGTGTCGCCTCATTGGGGCAGCAAAGATGGAACTCCTAAAAAATTAGATTAGATTTGTTATAAAATGGTTTTTCCTAAATTATTGGATACTTTATAAAAGCTCTTATTATCCCAAACTTCGATCAATGAAATAAGACTAAAAATAATATTGTCAACTTACTCTTGTATTTGTTGTGCTTTTGCACTCCATCTGTGTGATTTGGTTATGAATTCTCCGCGGTATGTTACGGCCGTATATGCCGATGATCTTCTGCACAAAAGGACACTCCTGGTACCGAATACACTGACCTGCCGCTCTCGCCGGAGTGACGCAACTGCTCTCTGTATTTCAATTAAATTGTAAACACCTTCCTGATATTAAATCATTTTAATTACTTACGGCTCAGAACCAGCAGTGGCAAGATGCACAAGACTAGACCTAGACTTAGAATCGCCGTAAGTACCATCCTGACTTATTGCTGTGATTAGTGATCAGTAATCAATGTGGAAGGTGTTCCTGGTATTGTTAACAACCTGTCTTAAGTCCGAATGCTGATTGTTCCCGATCACGATTAAGTTCTCCAACTTGCGCGCTGAACAGATCAACTTGTAATGAACCGCAGGTCGTCGTGTGTGAGCTTTTGTAGCTCGGACTCGCGTGCTCGGGGAAGCGCCAATCCAATGCAGCCAGCATTAATGATCAATAGCTGAGCGCAATCCCAGATCTGTAATACAGGTTTTAGCGGCACTTCCACAAGAGCACGCTTACGCGGGTCGCACAGCAGGAGATAAAGTAGTTTCAAATATGAGCTACCATATTTAGTTAGTGTTGTGGGTCTTACATTACAATATAGAGATACTCGATACGATATTGATTCTATATATACTTTACTACCTGGTGCCAGGTACAAAACTTTTTTAAGTTTCGTCTTTATAATACGCTATACAGATAGTAGATAGAGATCTCTATATTAAATATATACTTTTATATCCGATAGCAAGTCGAACCTTTCTTTAGCTTTATTCAATGATTAATTTTTTTTTTTTTTGATTGTCAATAAATATTTTGAATACAAAATGTTAGTATATGTAGAGAAAACATTATTTATAATGCCATATAATTATGAATTATTGCATATTTATACGTAAAAAACAGGCACCATTTCAGATTAAAAGAGGAGTCGTGAAAAATTTGTTTCATCACTGGTGATACCGATTCGATTGGCGCGAAAAGCGATCTTTGAGCTTGGAGCGTGGGAAAAGCGATTAAATTCCAGGAAACCCCCTGGCCAATCGATGTCTCTCCCATTCTCAACATGTCTCTGTATCGCCAACCCCTCTCTAAATCTTAACAAGTCGAACTTTGATCGCGTATCGGGGACTGGCACGCGTCTATAAAGTTCAACAGGTGTGCTAAACATCCATTAAAAGCGGTACTTTTTTTCTCAATTAGTATGCTCTCTGGTTTCCCATTCACCTGGCTACGCCCATGGTGCAGGTCGCGCCGGCTACCTGGTCGCATGATTGAAACCCGTTCCTTGGATATGAATATGATGTGTAACATGGAATTTCCAGAACAGAAATTCCCAACATCGCGGGTAAGATCTCTAAATGCGCCATGCGTGCAAAAAAATCCCCCAAAATTTGCGGTTGGCAAATAAAATCCTGCTAAGTATAGTTTGCACGTCACTTAGGATAGGTCGGAAACTCAGGGCCCTATAAAGTTCCGACTCTTAATAGCTTGGGCCATAAATCAGCTTCAATGGAGGGTCACAATTCGATTGAACTTTCTGATTAATTGTGCAATGCTTTCCTATCAAAGCTTTCAGATCTCTAGCCAACATACAATGTTCCATTTGATCACTTAAGTTTTCAGCCATATTATTCATACGTCACATTACACAATAATTCTGATTGTTAATATTCATAGAATTGTGAAGTTATTAGCCGGTCTGCGATAAGCTCAGTTAATATTCTTTATTCAACGATTTACAAGTATTTATGATTCATCGACGAGGAATTAAAATGATGAAAACACAAAGAAAAACCTCCTCTTGATGTTTATCTTAACTTTAACTTCAAATTTATCGTCATTTTAATATTGAAAGATGTTCTTTTATTTAAAACGCATTTGCATTTGTTTACAAATATGTATATAATATATTTTTGGGTTGCTCTAATTACTAAGATACACTCTAGATGCTGCTAACAGTTGATGACTCTCTTTACAGGCCATTACTGGCCATTGTATCCGTAATCCACTGGACATACTCTCCAACATTCGTATAAAGACCAGGCAAGCTAACCTGACCGCAGCTGACCACGCCTTGGCTTACAATTCCAAACTCGATCATTTTTTGGGCATACTCTCCCAAATATTGGGCGGGAGCTTGGAGTGGACCACCGGAATCGCCCTTGCAGGAATCTTGCAGATCACCACCGCCTACACAGAGCTGGGTGAGAGGCACTGCTCTTCGGTAGGCCTGGGAACATGCAGATCGTGGCTGCAGCGGTACATTCGCCTGGAGTAGGACATCGGAGGAGGAACCATTTTCCGTGGTACCCCATCCAGTTACGAAATAGGTACTTATCTGGTCCGCCTTCTCTTTCAGTTCATCCGTGATGGGCAGGCAAATAGGTTTGATATGTTCTGAACGGGGAATATATAATTAGTTATTGTCTTTAAGTGCCTTGAGTTATGCATTACTTTGAAAGGGAACCCTCTCTTTCAGCCGCAGCAAAGCTATGTCGTTCATAATGTGACGGGAGTCGTACTTCTCATGTATCAGGTGCTTCTCAATGCCCACATCCACAACCGGCGGGGCACACTTCTTTTTGCGACCCTTGCTGCCGGCAGTCCTCATCCGTTGAGATGCGATGCTCACCCAAGCGGATCTCATAGCTAAGGGTTAAGAATGCAAAACGGGTTAGTCAAAAATATCTTTGATGATGTATCACCAGTTCCTTTACTTACAGATCATTCTGGAGTCCGTGCACGCAGTGAGCGGCAGTCAAAATGTAGCCTGTAGCAAATTATTTATATTAAATACTTTTAAAAACTATTCCTTATGGAAAACACTTACGATCAGAAATTAGGGCACCGCCGCAAAGGAAACGAGACTCTTTAAACTGTTGGTAACGTAGCAAGGTCATCCATGGTCTGGAGGAAAGCTTCACCTCATAGCCATTGGCCACACGTTGACTGAGAAAATTGCCACAGTCGAAGTTTTCATCCTTAAATATGCTCATCACCTTGGAGTTGTGCTGGATCTGGGCGGAAGCACAGCAGAAGTGACGCTGGAAGAGAGAAGAGTACATCAAATGTAGATTAAGCAATTATACGATCAGAAGAATATTAATATTCATAAGTTTGATATTCAAAGAATTCAAGAAAATTATCTTTTCCGAAGAATTTTCCTAGTAATTTAGTTATTTATTGATCGTTAATCTAAGTAAAACATAATAAAAAATCTCTCTAGCTATATAACAAATTAAAAAGTTAATAGGTATTATTTAATTGCTTTCTATATGTAAATAGTTTGAGTTATCTATAAAAAACTTGTCATACAAGTAATTTCAGTCTCAATAAGATTATTTAATATAAACATTGCCTTTATGTATGTATTGAAACCATTTGAATGAACATTTTTATATTTATATAATTACCCAAACGGGGGTTTTCTTTGTTCGATTCAGTTAAATAGATTAAAGATTATGTTTAAATTGATTTGATGTATTTGTATTGATCTTTGGACATAAGGCAATGTGATTTTCAACTCACCACTCCATTGAACTCGCCGCAGGAGGCCTTTTGCAAATAACTGGCATAATCGGGCGGAACCTTTTGACCGGATTTCTGAGCCTCTGTGAGCCTCTCCTCGATGTTGCGGCAGGAGTAGAGGGGCATGCAACGACCCTGATCGCCATCCGGTGTGGTGCAGTCGTCGGCGTAGTCTGACCCATGTAATGTACACCAATATTAGCATTGCACTGATGCGAATTCGAAGAAATCCTCTAACCTGCTCGGGCAGATTTTACGCCCATTGACAACACGAGGGCAATGCCACATATGACGGCAAGGCTGCTGCGTATCATCTCGCTGAAATAGCTGATCTGGAGTGGCCGGAACCTGTACTGTGACGTGGAATTCTGGGCAAACAGGCGTCTCAAGCTCGACTGGGAGATAGTAAGCTGAGAAGTTGCGTTTTATACCCCCAGCATATGAGAGAGCGAAATCGAGATTAAATCAGAGCTTCATCCTCTCAAGATTTTGGGCTGCCTCAAATGTTCTCTTTGTGATCCGGAATACAATTAACAATGCATGGGAATAACCAAATATCAAACATTTGTTTATACTTCCCGAGATAATAACAAAACGGGTTAATCAAAAGCGATCTAAGAATTCTCCCTCTCTTTCTCTCTCAGAAAAAGTTGAATCTCTCTCCTCAAAAAAGCTCAGAGAACTAAGAGTCGAAGAGCTCAAGCAAATACTTGTTATTAAGGATAGCCTTTAAGCAGAATCGTGAGTAATTTAACTTGTATTTTTATTTTATTGTTTATCGTACATCATCATCTAGTCAGTGGTACAATGGCTGAATCGGTCCGATCGATCATTAGGGATAGGGTTTCTAGTTATTGATACTTTAGCGCGACCTTGGTAACAATAAATTATAACAAAGCTGCTTAATTGCGTTAATAAATATCAGACATGGCTCAACAAATATAATCGTCACTTGAATATATCTACAGATATAAGGGAACTAAACGATAGAAATCATAATGTATTAACTTAGATAGTTGGAGGTTAACGGCAGCGAATTAAGTTGTTTTACATGTGGAATCGGTTGGATGGTTGGTTGGGTTGCTCTCACCAGTTCTCGAAGCAGTTAGCTCTGCTGTCTAGCCAATTGTTCTAGGCGGTCGGTTTGTAGGGGGGTTCGATAATTTACATAAGTTCCTCGCTCTCTGTGTGTCAACGAAAGGAACATATAGCAATAGATAAATCAATCAATTGTCGAATTTCGGGTGGGTGAATAAGCGTGAATTTTGATATATAAATATTTAGCTATAGAGCTCGCTTGATGCCGCCGTCAGAGTTAGTATTAGTATTAGACAGAGGAGGTCAAACTGGAAGCTGGGGGATGCACAGATAATGCAGGAGAATTGAGGCAAGCGGCGAGGGAATGGAACTGCAAAGCCAATTATTGGGTGGTAAAGTTACAGCAAACCATAAACATAGCACAGATTAAATACAGATAGGATAGTGATAGGATAGAATACTGCGTAATTGCTTTTTTTTCAGAAGCGTAGTCATCGTCACAGTCGGTGAAAATCGTCATTTGGTATCGGTATCAGAATTGGTATCACAAAATTAATAACATGATAATTTATACAAATATAAAAAAACAGCATACATACATTATACTATGAACAATTTCAAAATACACTTAAGAGCTACTCCGATGACGCCGTCGTCTATAACACAGCCCCCGACTGTCCCGTATCGATGACTAATGGTCTAGTAGTATTATTAACAATATTTTCAATAATTTTTTAGTCAACAATCTGGGAATAGTTGAGGCTGGAGAACCGAATCTCAGAGCTTGACTGACGGTGGCAACGAATAGATCAACGAACATTTAAATAGAGTGAGCACTTGAAAATTTTTATAGTCTAGAGTAGGCTTGTTAGTAGTCGGTTGGTTGCTTGGTGCTGATGGTGTACGCTTGGAAGTAGTAGAGTGTGTTAGATGCAAAACAGAACGGGTGCCATCAATCAGTTGAACGCTTTAATGCTTTTTATTTGATGGCGGCAATGAGCGGGCTTTCTTCGCCTAAAATAAATAAAGAAAAATTAATTTTCACTTTGTTTTCCATAAAGTTCCGTGGGCACTAAATCACGAGTCTTAATGTAGGGCATCCTTGGCCAAACCCATGTCGCAGGCATGGAGCTCTCATAGTTGAAGTTGTACAGTTGGTTCTCCAGCCACTTGCGCTTGTCCTGCGGCTCCGGATAGGTAGATGCCAAGCCTAGAGGACATAAATTATATTAGTAAAAAGTGATTATAGGTATAGGCCTACACGAGGCTATGAATACTTTCTAATGTCTTTAAAAATATAAACTTTACCTCTGTCGTAGGCACACTTGGTAACACCGACAGCAATGTTCATCGACACTTCCCGAATGCTCGACAGCGGAGGATATAGCGATCCACGCTCAATGTCACTGAGCTCCACAAAGTTGGCCAATTCCTGGGCGGCGATGAGGAACATTTCGTCGGGTATGTGGTGGGTGCCTGTGCAGATCACGCCCAATCCCACGCCTGGGAAAATGTAGGCGTTGTTTCCCTGACCGGGATAGAAGGTCTTGTCACCGACCTGAACTGGTGGGAAAGGAGATCCTGACGAGAAGATCACACGGGCCTGACAATAGAAAACATTTTATTAGAAGCATCTCAATATGGGTAAACTAAAATGTCTTACATCCGTGTGCTTGTAAGCATCTTCGGCAGTGCATTCAGCCTTGCTGGTGGGATTGGACAAGGCGAACACCACGGGCCTCTCGTTGTTATCCGCCATAGTACGCAGGATCTCAGGTGTGAAAATACCGGCAGCGGCCGAAGCACCAATAAGCACCTGTTAATTTGTTTAAGATTAGTTAAATATGCCAAAGATACTTTTAGCACGACAATTACTCACACTGGGCTTGATTGTGGATACAATTTCTGCAAGATCGGTCATGGGATTGATATCCTTGGCATAATGGATTTTGTGGCCATCGAGGTTACCAACCTTGCGGTTTTTGGTTAGCAAGCCGTCGATATCAACCATGTAGATTCTGCTGTAGGCTTCCTCGATTGGCACGCCATCTTGCACCATGGCCTTAACTGTCAGATCGGCGATGCCGATGGCGGCCTCGCCAGCTCCGGCGAATAGGAACGTGTAGTCCTTGAAGGACTTGCCAGTAATTCGCTTGGAGGCATAGAGTCCAGCGACGGCCACGGAAGCGGTTCCCTGGATGTCATCGTTGAAGGTGCAGTAGGTGTTACGGTACTTGTCCAGGAACCTAAATGCATTGTGGTTGCCAAAGTCCTCGAACTGGATCAATGTGTTCTGACCATAACGCTGGACCACCGCCTCCATGAACTCATCAATGAAGTCGTCGTACTCCCGTCCGACCACACGCTTTTGGCGCAGACCGACGTACAGGGGATCCTCTAGCAGATCAATGTTGTTGGTGCCTACGTCCACCAAGATAGGCAGGCACTGGTGGGGTTTGATTCCGGCAAGAGCCGTGTACAAGGCCAGCTTGCCCACGGGAATGCCCATGCCACAGGCTCCCAAATCTCCCAAGCCCAGGATACGCTCTCCATCTGTAACGCAGATGGCACGGACATTTGGCTCCGGCCAGTTCTTCATCACGTCGAAGATGTGTCCGCGATCATTATAGGTGATAAACAGACCATGAGGACGTCTGTAGATCAAGCCAAAACGTTGGCAGGCTAAACCCACTGTTGGCGTATAGACAATAGGCATCAGGTCCTCGATGTTCTCCGAGAGGAAACGGAAGAACAGACGCTCATTACGATCGTACAGATCGCTGAGGTAAAGGTACTTGTTCAGCGGCTCCGTGTAGCGGTTCACAGCGATCTTGCAGAGCTGCAGTTGCTCCTCCTGCGTCTTGAAGCGCGCCGGCTGCAGTCCATGGATGCCCAAAGTCTGACGCTCCTCGAGGGTAAAGGCAAGGCCCTAGAAAAATGAACATGATTAGTAAATTGTCAATTTAAAGCTTAAACAATAATATTTGATACTTAATGATGTTTTTTCGATCCTATACAAAACTCAAATGGAATTTTAATAGCTCGCAAAATTTGTGTTATCTTTAAGTGATAAGCAAACTTTTTGTTAATAAAAGTTAAACAAGTTTGGAGACTCCCCTTATAACGTTATAAATATTCTGGCTGATAAACAAATTTTATAGATGATTAATTACCCATGTCTAGGTCTCGGGGCAAGTGAACTCCCTGATTATTCATTTTTACAGTAAAACGTATACGTTTTTTTATAAACATTAATTTGAAATTTCTTAAGATCGAAATATAATATTTATGTTGTATTTTCTTACCTTGTTGAGTCGTGGATCACGGATGTGATCTATACCGCGCACCTGTGAGGGGCAGATGATATCGCCCACCACCTCATGATAGTTTCGAGCGGGAAATGTGGCTGCTGCCACTGTAGTAGTAGTTATTCCTGTAGCTGAAGTACCGCATCGGCACAATTTGCCCACAGTTCCGCACAAGCTACAAATTGCAAAAGTGCATTACGTGGTGTCATTTATCAGCTGAGCAATTGGAGCACCCCCTGGGAACTCTTGACTTTGAGATGGACCCGTTGAGCACCCCCTCTGACATTCTTGACATTGTTATGGGGGGTTTTCCGCACCCATAATTCAACCCCTTTCACACACCCCACACGCACACACAACCGGAATAAAAAAAGCCATGTTCAAGGTCGACGTCAGCTGCTTTTTGTTTATCACCGCGCTGGGCACGCCAAAATATAAAATGAAAAGCAAAAAAGAAGGAAACTAAGCCGCATTGTTTACAGCTGTCCCCCATGGAATCCAAAACGCCGGCGATAAGGGGGACGGATGGCCTGGCAACATCATGATAAAATCTACCCACAGTCACGATTATAATGCTAGCATCAGATATCGTTTTTATTTATAGTTTTCAATCCAAAATGTATATAAACCATCTCTTAATTTAGTGTTTTATCATAAGTTAAATACGGAAACTCCAAATTCGTAAAAGGTATACATTCTGATTACGCAAAAACAAAGTATTTTTTTTATTACAAAACAAATTAATTTTTTTATTTTTGATCACCGAACTTGAAAATGTTATTGTGTTCTTGAAATAGAAGTCATAGAGATAAGATTACAAAGTACATTCACTAACTACTTGTACTGAAGGGCTTACTGAAATTAATGATGGACCTGACAATGCACAATCTATTAATTAAAAACAAGTTTCGATGATATAATACTATTCCTTACTATATACTATTATTTTTACCTCTGCTGTAGAGCGATCTGTATATTTGCTAGCTTTCAGTTCTATCAGATGGTGCTAATTACGAGAGAAGCGAATGGATAGACACAAGCGCGTGTGACTAATTTGAGTTAGTGGTTCATTGATGAAATCATGCTCTAGGGGAATGGAAAGGGTTGGTATCGGATTTTGGTCAAGTTGAAACCGGTTAATGACGTGCGCCGGAATGGAAACCCCATGACGACGCCGCAGAGATCCCTACAGCTGACAAAATGCGAGCACTTTGGCCAGATAATTATCGTTTAGGTAACGCTATCAATTGTCAATTTTTCATTTTTTCCCAACTGTTTGAACACCACTCACATGAGCCCCACACCGTCAAGTGCTAAACAATTTCGCATATCAGAGCCAAATACACGGAATAAGTGCGTGTCGTAAATGCTTTCGAGTGATATTATATATCTCTAAGTGTGTGCGCGCGGCTACCATTAATTATTTTTAGGGTCCGAAAGCCCTAAGAATATTCGGTTCTAACTGGAGTCCGAAGGCAAAACCTAGCAAAGTTCATTAAACTCTTTCATTTTTTATTAAGCGAATTTCTTTGCTTTCAGCTAACGGTTTGCGTGGGAAAGAGATGCAAAATAGCGGACCAGCTGAAAACATTTTTGATGAACTTGGCAGCGAAAAATGCTTACAATGGCGAAACAACACACATTTTTTCGGTATACACACTAAATTTAGAATTTTGCCAGACCATCTTTCGAATATATGAAATGTCCATGTCCATGGACGTGAAGGTGTTGCTTTTTCGCTACACAGGAAATAAATGATTTGAAAGTTGATTATTAAAATTTTTGGAAATTTCATTGCAAAATTTTCTTATGCGAAAAAACAAGATTTCAGATAATGAAGTTTGAGAACTTTTCTCTTGATAACAAATTATGAGTCACAAAAATTATATAAAATACATTTGTCACCACATAAATGTAAGTCTAAATATTTAATATTTAACACGAATTTCTTAATACAATCAGAAATAACACATTTTTTCAGTGCATCGTATTGATTTTTTCAGCTGTTTGTTGTTTTGGCAGCCGAAAAACAGAGATATATTCAAAAAACTCTTATGCAATTAATTAGAAGGGAAAAGTGAAAATTTTGAAAACAGCTGTTTGCCCAATAAGAGGAAGTGCGAAAGAGGGTGGGAAAATAAAGGGTCAATGCCAGGCCATGTGCAAATCACACTCCCTCTCTCATTCGCACATAGGGAATCCCTATGTGAATTTTGTTTGTGTGCCAATGAAAATGAAAGCTGCGCAAAAGAAAAGAAGAAAAAAAGTGGGAATGGGATTGATATATATACCGACGCCTTGGCGGCTACTCGTCTGAACCGAATGACTAGGTCACTGGGCTACCAGCTGGGGAAGTTCCTCGTCCCGAATCGCGAAATGTTGCATAATTCCCGCCCCAAAAAAACATTCACGTTCACACTCACACATCCTGCTCGAAAAGTCCTTACAGAAAAAAGCTTACCTGGGTCGTGAGAACATTTTTGGTTCGTATAATTGCTTTCCGCTGGGTTAATATTATTTTTTATATTATAATAGGCCCCTTTGTTTGACAGTTGTCTAGTTGCTAAGGGGTAATACTTTTGGTTACGTTTGTTAACTATGCGATGTGCTACGGTTAGCACCGACGACGATTTTCCAGGAATAAAATTATAGCGACTACGCGCGGTTTTTAACCCTCCCCACAACTTACAAAAACAGAACTAGAGAGACCAGGCGAGGATAAAACACCACAAAATATATTGACACTAAAAATTACCAGAAGCGCTAAGCTTGATAATGATTCATAACTATGCTATCCATTAGCATAGATTCAATCCAATAAATAAAATTCAATGAAAGCAAATATTCAAACCGATTTCTTTAGATCATTATACTTTTTGGCGGGAATGAATTTAAGTGTTTAAAATAGTGAAAATATATTTTTTATGACACTATAATTTGCACGAGAGACATTTTAGATATTAGAATGTATTTAAAAGGACGTTTACTAAAATTTTAAATTGAAATAGTTTTTGTGAGAATTTTTTATTTATATATAGACTTATACATGACTTAAGAAAGCCAAACAAGCTTCTACAGATTTTGAATAAGCTAATAACTACTTCATTTTGGTTTTGAACTGTAAGCATAGTTCTGCTTTTAGAAAATGATTTTATAAAAGAATTATTTTTTTTTTTACAAAAAAATACTGAATTTATCGACAGTATAAGGTATTTTTCTCTTTATCAGTAAAAGCCTACACCATTGGCCGTTAACAGCCATTAACGGCGAATGGCCACTCTAATCGAAAAAAAACTTTGAACGGAACGCACGGACGCTCCGCTGACGACGGAAATCGCGAAGGGCGGATGAGTGCTGCGCGAGTTTAATGGAATAGTTTGCAATACTTCGCCTTTCCCTTCGAGTGTCCAGCATCCGCTTTCGCTGTGACGCAGTGCCTCTGCAGGCTTTCAAAGGATATTCGACGCAGTTTCCGCGAGGGAAATGCAGCTCCATTTAATGAGACCGCAGAGTCACGCGTGTGATGAGCACGAAAAGTGAAATATAAGCCAGAGAAAAACAAAAAAAAAGCAAAGTGAAAAAGGCAGAGGCATTTAAACAAAATTCTCAGTGTTAAAATCAGTATTGTGCATTTAGCAGTTGCCAAACAAATTGCATTGTGTTTCTTTGTTTTGTTTGGCTCGCACGCGCTGGTGTTGGTGTGTGTGCGTGAAAGAGTGCGCCAGTGTAACCGCTTGTGTGTGTGAGAGCAAGGACAACAGGCAAAAATAGGAGAGGAAGAGGAGAAGAGGAAAAGCAACAACTGTGGAGCTGCAGCTGGAAAAAACACTCTCCTGCGATGGACACGTTTCGCAAGTGGCTGAACAAACCCAAGGTACAGTTTTTGTTTTCTGTTTTTTCTTATTTTTGCATAATTTATAAACGATAACCCGATTAGTAGTGCCTCCTTATCACTAAAACAAAAACAACAACAACAAATAAGAGCGAAACGTAATTAATTAAGACTAAGAGAGAGGGAGAGCAACAAATGGTGTCAAAGCAACGTGTGCTTGCATATGTGTGTGTGTTAACTGTGCCGTTGTGACGTCAGCGTTTGGCCCTGGCTCATTATAAACTAGCCCTCTCTCTTTTGCACTCTCTCGGCCAGCTGGGTTTTAACCGCATTTCATTTCCGATGATTAATTCGAATTCGCTGACGTTGCAACAACTGCATCTCAGCAAATTTTGCAGTTGTCTTTTTTTTCACAATATGTTAATACGTTTGTGTGTAAACTGCACTCTGAATTCAAATTGGAAACACTCACTAACACACACACGCAACTCAAAAGTACCAACAAAAACAAATATGGCGCCTGTCCGTTCGTGTTGCAAATTACAAGCAAAAGCAGCTAAAGCTAAAGCCAAAGCCAACTAATTTATGTATCTGCGCCTGGTAATTTGGGATCTATTCTGTTCTGCTCTTGGGGGGGAAATCCCGCTCTATCGCACTGGGGAAAATCACTCGAGAACGCCGAGAAAACAATGTCAAAGCTCCAGCGATTGGAGGAGTCTATTTTTAACTCTCTACATTCAAGTAATTCCAAATTACAGTTTAAATTACCTAAGGCGGATTTTCTAGATTCTTTTAAGAAAGTTCAACCCACCAACTTCATAGAAACCATAGGATACTTCCTTTAAATATGAAAAAACGGACTTAAATTTTTATATTCTGCCTATTAGGTATAGATATGAAGAACCGTATCAGCCATATGGACATAAAGAAAGTTTTTAAAAAATATGTTATGAGGTCTTGCACAAAAGAATTAGTTTATTTTATATTAAAAGTAATATTAATACAAATGAATTTAAGTTTTAGATTGTTCCTCGTACTTAAGCTTGCCTGTATCTATTTTAAGAAGCCCCCTTACTTTCGGGTGTCTGGAATATATACACGGTAAACGTGAACCGCTAGACCCTAGCCTCCAAAAATAAAACACCGATGGAGCGACTTTCGTGCCCCTCTAACAATTTTCCTCCCGATCGGTCGTCAATCAGTCAATCCGTTTGACATTTTGATTGCCGTCGCCAGATTTCTATTTCTACAGAGTGCTTCAAGAGTAGGAAAAATGGAATTAGAAGCAATTTACACGCAAATCCATTAAATCAAAGGCAAACACCCTATATGGCTATATGGCTGTGTATTTATACGACCTCGGTTACCTACCTGGTGTGGAGGTCAGTGTCGAGACTTTTGTCGGTTGTAGGAGGCTCTCCAATCGGGGGAAATCGAATCAAATGGCAAACAGATGTCTGGTCTGTGGGCAGAAGGGCCTCGGATGTTTATGTTTTCGAGTGTTCAATAATCGGGAAGAGCCCGGGCACATAGAAATAGTATTGTCTGTATCTGTATCTGGTACTTCGATTAGATAAGATTTCGCCGGGTGGAGCGAGTGAGGATTTGACTGCGCATCACGTTCAATGACAGGTGATCGAAGAGGCTTGGTATTTATCGATTAACGGGTGGGAAAGTATCGCATAAATCACCTTTGAAGTGATTTCTAGGTTTATGCACTTTCGGATTGGTTTCTAAGCATTTGGCATATACTTAAATGCCACCTGCGACTTGCAATCATTGTCATTAGATTCAAGAAACATGTTAATGCTGGATAATAAAGTTTATTGGCCACAAACGGTAAAATATCTATTTTGTTGCACATGTTTTTATAGTATACATAGTGTTTAATGTTGAAGAAATGTTTCTCGCCTGAAATTGATCTGTGATCCTTTTTGGCAAAATATCCATTAATGAGGTTTTCCTGTTTCCTCAATTTTCAAATACCTCTTTGACCATAAATAATTGAAAGCAACGTTTAGACTTCGCTGCTTGATTTATTATGCTCTAAATGCATTCGGAAATTCCAATTGGCTCTGCAAAAGTGATCAAAGCAAAATGGAAATACGGTTTTCTTTGGTTTACTTTCCGGATGCCTACTAGTTAGTTGCTCTCTAGTTTGCTTTGTTAATTAACACACTTCTCCCCATCGGCCATGAGCCACACCGCCACTACCCTAACACGCCGCCCACCGGGCCATGCAGCTCATAAATAACGGTACGTTTTTCCTTATTTTCATGGTGGTGAAAAATGCCTTCCAAACGAAACGGAAAATCCACACAGACAGTCGTCTAAAGTTTCTGCTTTTCTTTCTTACGTTTATTTGTGTGTTCAACAACTCTTTCGTGTGGCATAGGCATCACTGCTCTTCTTTTTCATTCATTCATTGACTGACTGCACACAATTTTTCTTCAGTCGCTTCCTGGTCTTCTCTTTCTTTTCTTTTAGTCTCGTCTCGTCTTTGTGATTGTGTCAACTTTCTTTCTCCTGCAAAGTGAGATTCTTTCGCCGAGGTCGCTTTTGTTGCGATTCAAAAATAAACAGAAACAGCAGAGCGATAGCGTTGCCAGACGTTTTGCAAGGCATTGCCGTTTCGGATTGCATAATTTGAGATTGCTTCACTTTGTGATGTGTCAACCCTGTCCACTGCATTCGTTTGCAGAATGAGTAATTGAAGGTAGTTTTATCAGGGATATATAGGCATTAAAAATTAAAAAATACACCATTGCCAGCCATTCTAATAATAATGAACCCTGTTTGCTACATACATTAGCAGAACTAGCTAACAACAAAAATAAAAATAACAAAAGATGATTTCAAGACAACAATCGTACCTTTTGTAAGGGTATGCAGTGAATGCAATTGTTTTTACTCTGTCTGTGCATATAAATTTTCATAAAAACGAAACCGACGACGCGATGAAGGCAGACAAAAGGCGAGGAGAAACCGAGACAATGGAGGCTGGGAAAGAGGCGACTGCCCCGAAACCCAGATCCCAAAAAACGCGATCGGATCCGCAGTCAATGGAACTGCCAACTGGTAACTGGGGGCCAGTGAAACACCGAAGGAAGGCGGCACGCGCCACAGGCGTCTGTAATTGATTATCTCTGATATAGCGGGCACTCGATCTCTGGGCCCAAAACCAATAGCATTACATCACTCTCCCATATTTAATTTGCTTGCATAAATACGATATTGTATATATTCCCATCTAAACTCGTACACCACATATAGGAAGTATTGTACAGACGATAAAGCAAACACTTTTATTATATTTTTTGCGCTTGCCTTTGGATACTTGATTATAAATGTTTTACGATGAATGAATATATATGTATACATACGTAACCATGTACAATCATATAAAGAAGAAATAGTGGGTGCGGGCTGAAATTGTTATTATTGAGCACATGGCTCAGATTCGTATTCGTAGTCTGATAGCGCTGGTTGGGTCTTCCCAGTACAGAAACAAAGGCATTTATATTGTTCTTTTTGTGTCTTTAAGCAAAGTATAAGCAATTCTTCTCAGATTTTTGGTATTTTTACTCGTTGATTTCTAGTTTGCCAACCAATATACCTCTCATGTGTCTTTGCTCTGTGTGCTTGCCATAAACTCATTTGGAGTTGGCATTGAATTGTTTTACGGGCCGAATCGCCAAGAAACAAAAGCAAACCATAAAAAAGTGAAATCTATGGGTGGCTGGCAATTTCTGATTTTTTTTTTTATTTAATCGTTGATGGTTTGGGTTTTTGTTTCGTTTCTACAATTATTTTCGGTTGTTTCCCAAATACTTCTCCCTCTCGAAGTCTCGAACTCCCCCGGATTTTTGGAGCATGTTGCAAAGGTGTGCAATTAAAGTCGGTTGCGTCGTCAGCACGAAATCGGCCATTAACACAATAAACTCTGACTTGTGGCTTTAAAAAAAAAAACAAAAAAAATTATCCACAAAACAATTAAACATGAGCTGGCAAAATGGAAATTACAACAATAAAAGCAGTTTAACAATTGTGCCTAAGAAAGTCATGACTGGACGAGAGTAACTAGCTGAATGAACCGAGAGAAACGAGGGGGAACCTATCTCTTCAACCAGCTTTATAAAATTCACTTATTTACGCTTTCTTAACTCAAACTTATGGAAAAAGAAACAAGAGCGCAGAGTAAAATCTCTTCTGACAAAAGTGAAGGAAGTAAAGTGCCAGAGAAGCCAACCCTGTTGTTAATGGCAACCGATTATAATGCTCATTTTCATGTTTCAATGATGCGGATACAGTGCGTTTCGCAATCCTAACCACATTATGAAACGACCTTACAAGTAAATAATTACGATAAATAGAAAGATAAACACCAAAGAAACCTGTTCAGGGAGAGCTATTATGGGCCAAAACGTTGTGGCCATTTTACTTCGTTTCTGTTTGCCTTTAACGCTTCTTAAACTATTCATAGCACTTTCAGATCATTTTATGGTTTATTAAAAGAACTTAATGGCTGGATCTTCTTTTGCTTTTTCAAGTGAAAAAGATTCAGACTCAGATTCTTGAATGTACTTTTCTTAAGTTTTTTCATACACTTTACCCTATTTAATGCAATCTTTACCATATTTGTTAACACTATTAACCGCTTTACTGTTCTGAAACCCACTGCACAATATTACACCGCTTGTACAAATAAAGTGAAGTGACTTAAGCTCATTTTCACCATCTGTGGCATGAATGGACTCGAATGCGTATACGACCCGTTGGACAAGACTACTACGTCGACAGATTTAATGCAGTGCAACAATGTATATGTAACTTGTTACTGGTGTCTCTGTCTGTGTTTGTTTGTTTGTGATTGTATGAATGTCTGCCTGTTGCTCGTGCCAACAACAACAACAATAACAACACGACGACGATAACAACCTGTTTCTTTCGGTGCATTTAATTTGGGCCATATTGACATGTGCCGACTTTGCTGCCGGCGTCACCGTTAACGACTTCTGCTTCTGCTTCTACTCGCCGCTGCC